TGAAATCCAAAGTCCCGAGAAACAGTGAAACTTCAGAAGTAACCTTAAATGTTGATTAGTGCGGATACTTTGCATATTGATGTTAGTGGCGGCGTAACTTGAAGCAAACAGAGGGACTTCCTATGCATTTTGAATATTTTATGACGGCTGCTTAAAGAAATATGTATTAATATTTTAGCTATTGTCAATGCTATTTTGATGATTGAGTCAAGAAAACATATTGATTATATGAGTAATATAATGCGTAATATATTTTAATTCAATCATTGATATTGACAAGTACAATAAAATATGTAAATATCGCCCCCAACACCGAAGAGAAAAATTCAAGGCTGACTGTAAAGAAGGGTCCACCACGGGTGATGAAACTTCTTTGAAGTTCTATGGCGACCAAATTGAAATATGCCACAATATTTGGGTCTGTCTCCGTCCAAGGCCCATCACACAATGTGCTCAGTAATAAATCAGCCTGATAAATACATTTTTATTAAAGTAATTATAGAAATTTCATTTCTACTTACAACGTCTTTTAAGTTTTGGGCACTCTTGCACACATAAAAAACTTGTAAGAGGTAGGGGAAGCCCATCAAGAGCATTGATACTATAACAAGCGGCTCCGGAAACTAAAAATAAAAAAATCTTATAAAACTTATCTTAAGATTTCCAATCATATTATGGACCTTTGCAGCTGTGAATGCAATAAAGCACGTCAAAATAATTGAGAAAACGATCAGCAAAATCAAGTACCATCCAAACAAGTTATTTACTTCTTGGTTCAATCTGAATTGATATGAAAGAATGATTAATTGACAGCTCTTTGATGTTGAATTATTGTTTATACCTTTTAATTTTGTTGAACATAACAAACCACGTCCTATCAAATGTACCGGGCCGCTTAAAAAATATGCTGTCATTTCCACCTTGACACTCAATTTTCATAAGCGCCAAACATTTGTTTAAGAACGCCAATTCTTCCGCGGCAAAGGAGTGGAAAATGTGTACAAAACAGTCCATAAAAATATTTTTCAACAGTATGAACTGCATCGTCAGAAAATTAACGAAAAATACAAAACTATGCCATTTTGACCAATTTTTAGTAATAAACGGAACATTTGGAGTTTTTGAACCTGTTGTTAGATTATTTATTTCATTTTGGTGAACGGAAAATATTATGAAGGCAATCACATTTGGAATTATGCTAACAGTAATCAGAATCAATACTGTATTTCTGACTTGTTTAGAAATCTTTTTCACGAGTTCTGTTTGAAACCTTTTCAACGGCATAAATTGAATAATTTCATCAACTGAGTGCAAAAGTCTGATTAGATTTTTTCTATTTAGAATAAGGTAGCATGATTTAGCTAAAACTAATAAGTAAATAATTGAAAAGGCAATCGGCTGACACAAGTTTGCAACTTTAAAATCTAATGTATTAAATGTGAACAACTCGACCATAGCGAAATATACTGACAAAAGAAAGCCAATGACACTTAGCTCAAAAAATATCCACCCTTTTGAAATATTGGCTCTGTTTTTTGTGAGAGGCAAAACTAAACCCAACAGTTTGTTTAACTTCAAAATAAACTGCAGCTCTGAATATGCGCTGAAGCCCGTCATTTCTTCACAAAACACCAGTGAATAACACCAATTTCCTTAGAGGCTTTCTTAAATATGGGCTAGTATGATGTGAATAATTAATATCAAGCTATTATGTGCCTTTCCTTTGCTGACCGTATGTTATGGTCATTACAAAATTAATTATTCAAGCGGAAAACTGCTTCATTATAACTGAACGAGCATTATGAAATAAGTAAAAAAAGAGCGAAATATGGCTGAAAAAGCTCCCAGTTCAGAATAAAAAATGGTCCAAAGGTAAATTTAAAGCTCCTTCGAATATCCATTGTAAGCAAATAAAGTCCCGCTTCCAACGTTTCGTTCATCCAAGGTCCCTCAGACATTGTACCAATAAGTTGATTGGCCTGCTGTACGAAAATATGATTTGACTCCTAAATTAAAAACGTACAGATTTTTCAACTGCATGACCGCTTCGGTAAGCAACAGCCAAATTCATTACCCCGATAACAATCCAGTCTTGGTGGGTCTCGGCCAGTCTCAGGGTGTTGGCCGGTCTCGCGGTTTCGGCCGGTCTCGGTGGTTTTTAGGTCCATAAATTTAATGCTAATTTTTTAATTATTAAATAATTTTTCTTTAAATACATTTTAATTTTAATTAAATTAATTTTATTTATTCTCATGTCAATTTAATACAAATCTATCTCAATAATAGTTTCAGTTTATAATTCTGATTTATTAATAATTATTTAATTTTGCCTGCATTTATAAATTTCATTGAAAGTGAATGCATTAATTAAATGAACTTTAAAAGCAACAAAATAGATTTATTTTAGATTCTATACAATTAGGTCACTTATATTTAGGACACTTTTCATTTAAGACACATGAAATATAAAATTTGGGAATACTTTTTTAGGACTTTTGCTTTTACCACAATTAGAGAAATCAGTTTTAGGACAAATAACGGCGACTCGCTTCTATGAACGCTAGTTATTTATTTGGAGTAAAATCAAGAAATATGTGAAAACCGATCCAATGATAGTTGCGATAAAGTTTAGGTTGACCACAAAGAACGGCCCACCACGCACTTGGAAAGTTCGCTTGATGTCGAAAGCAAGGATATTCAAACCTGGCTCGATTTCCAGATTCTGCCATGGACCTGACGAAATCGTGTTTGCCAAAGAGTCGGCCTGCAATGCAAGTACATCATTTTGATGTATAGTTTGCTTAATTTTTTACTTACCGATGAAATAACTGCTTGGCCACTAAGACACGCAACACCAATGTGCACCATACAAACTACAGCTAATTGGGACATTCCTAAAATAACGTTTAAAGCAGGTACCTTAAATGCAGGAGATTAGGAAATCATTTATTTTTCGTTTGAAAATTACTTACTCTAGCTGCTAAGAAGGCAATGCTGCATAGAAAAATGATGCTGCAGCCAGAATTTGAAATTAAAATAGCTCCAAAGAAGTTGTTCCCCATTTGATGAAGCCTGCGTAATAAAATATTCAAGAATATTATAGTAAAAATTTAAAATTTGGTTTACCTTTTCAACAAGGCGTACATTTCTAAAAAGATCAACCAATTTTCATTTCTTCTTCTGAAAATGACCTTTCCTTTAGCGCGAATTTCCTTCTTGTATTGTTTAAATAAGAAGTTTAAAAAATCGAGTTGCTTTTTTACAAAATAATGAATAAAAAGCATAAGTCCGTCCATGAATACATTTTAATAGTAAACACTATACTGATTGCTCTTTGCAAGTTGTATACAATGTTTGCCCATAAAGTCCATTGAGTGGTGTTGCGAAGCCTATTGCCCTCGCTATTGTTGGCAGACAACGTAGCATTATTTTGAGAGACATACATTTTTAGACTAGTTCCACTAATTAAGAAAATTAAAACCATGCATATAACACAACCACAGGTCAATATAATCATGACTGTTAAAACTTTCTTAATTTTCCTGCACACGTTTTCAAATATAATTTCTTGCGATTTTTGATAAGTAGAGGACAGAGAAATTATATTTTCCACAAGTATCAGTATTTTCAATAGAGTTTTTTTTTTAATTATAAGAAAAATCGTCTTTGAGAAAATCAGAGTGTATATAGTGGCGATAAGCACTGGTTGTGACAGTGATAGTAGACTGAAGGTAAATTTTTCTTCAGCATACGCAAATAACAGAATGTTTATATTAACAAATACAAATAAAGCTATTAATAAATTAATCGTTTCCCAAGCAGTTGGTCTACTTAAATTTTTGTGAGTTTGATCATCAAAAGAATTTGGAACCCAATATCCAAATATATGATTTGTCTTGAAGAGAAAGGCAAGGCGGTGTCCTTTCGCCGTGACGGGCTGCATAATTCACTACTTCCGAATAACCCTTTTGAATATTGGACCGTGTTGGTATTGATCGAAATTCATGAATTAATAATGATTGCAAGTAAATGAAAACAAAATTGCTCAATTTCAAACACAATATATTAATATATAGTGATCGTGAAACTTTAAAACTCATTGTTTTAGTTCAAGTTGCATTTGAGTGAGGTAAAAATCTAAAGAAAACTTTTAAAATTCACATGAATTAAATCTAAAATTCAAGATTATTTTGAATTAAATCATTAATGTCTCACAAAATATCTTGCAGAAATAATTTTTAGGGGAGAAAAGTCACACTTTTAAAGACAGAATTCACCTTATTAAAACAAAAAAAATTAATAAAAATACAGAAATATCTGCAAGTAATTGCGTTGAAGTGTATATATTTTTATTTTCTAAACGAGCATTTACATTCAGGACTAGGCAGTGCCGTTATTCATTTTGCTAATGCACTCTCTCCAGTTTGGGCAATTTTATTGCTAGACATTGTGCGCGCAGGTAGATGAAGATGACATTAAAAGAATGACGCAGCGCCCTCCTGCTTTTATTATTCTCCACCCGTGCCGACTGTTTTGCACGTTTGCAGCGGTAAAATTTGTGCCCGCCTTTACGGCTGGTCATAATTTTGCCGAGCGGCGGTGCCATCAAATTGAATCTTCAAGTCAGTCAGTGCGACTCAAATATTCATGTTGACCCGAGCAAAGCAGCGAGCTCATTTATCCGACGAAAAGTGGAGCACGCGCGTCTCGTGTACATCCCAAGACTGTACTAAAAAGTCGGAATTATTTCAGTGCGGTTTCGTTCCCAACAGAGAACACCTCGTGTTGAAATGAAAATTGCACAACAACGTGAATTTTTCATGCCACAATACCATGTGAATTTGCATGCCAGTTTGTTCACACCGCGGAAACTGAATAAAATTAGATTCAATGTAATCCCGGGACTTTTTCATTTCCTCGGGGACCGCGCGTTTAATATCTTTGCAGGTCCAATTACTACCGCGACTCATGCGACAATTTCTCTCACTCTTCTGTTGCAGAGGGACTTTTGAGTTATTCGGCCAACAGAGCTGGATCGCACAGTTCGATCGATTCGGAGCCTGATCCTTTGGAAGATATCAGCTATGATGGGCAGATTGAGCGCAGGAGCATGTCTGGTGGGCTTGGTCAGCTTACGGACGGTCGATTTGGACCCGACGACCTCAACATTGACGACACTACTGATGGTGAGTGCCAAATATCAATTTTAGAGCTTGTGATAATACTTTAATCTTGTTTTCAATTATTTTTTGCGTGTGTATTATTATTTTATATAAAATTTTGCGATCTCGTCCTGATGAAAAGGTGAAAAGTCCAAGACTTGTAAAATTAAAAGAAAATATGAATCAAGGATAATGAATTTATAATAAATTCAGAGAACAAAAAGTATTTTCTGCAACTTTCGTGGCATTAAAAAGTGGCTGCACAATTTAAAGGCTTATTTCAAAGTTGCTTTCTTGCATATTTATGCACTCATAAATATTTATATCACCCCACGTCAGTTGGAATTTAAATGTCAAGTGTGCATGTTTCTTCCTCTACCATTTTGTACACTAGTCCCGCGTCTGGCCATATTTTTTCGGACGCCGACCGTAAACGAATAATGTCCAACGCGCACCCACCTTATTAAAAAAGAAAATGAAATGTAGTGAGCCATAACTCGGAGGAAGCTCGTTGCGTCCGCCAGCATGGCCGCCTGTCAAGCGGGCTTACCTGCTTATATATGAAGTCGGCCCCGAGCACCTGCCTGCACACTGCGTCCTACCCAGCATCCATCATATTCCCTGGGCTCCCTGCCCTGCCGATTAATGCATGTGAAATCCAGAATCGTCGACCACGACCGTTGAAATTCGACGCGAAAGACAAATGTTCTGCGCGCCTCTGTGTTTGTTAGTTTGCCAAGCAAATTACATAAACACGGGCTGGCAGACAAACTACCCCTGAGATCTGCCCGCGCCTGGCCTGCTCTAATTAAAATTTATTTGCCGCAGCGTGCATCCAAATATTAACGCCTGAGCTGCTGCCGCCGTTTCCCATTTAATTTTTCTTTTTAATTAGCGCACTCACTGCATGTGCACATTTCAAAGCGCCCAGACGACGATTCAGTTCAGAGTTTTCTAGTTTGTATTTAAAATTTTCTATGCTATCATTTCATAATTTCTATTAATTTTCTCTGCGATCGTGTCTAATGGTAATAATTCATTTTTTCAGCTTACAGATGGGTCGCCTGGCTTAATGACAGTCTAGCTGGGCATCCTCTGGAAATAACTTTCGAGTTTGATACTCTGCGCGAATTCACGGCTGTTCACTTGCACGCCAGCAACTCAGTGACTCGAGGTGTTCAGGTAAGCCTAAGAACATAACTTTGTTTTGTTTTTTTAATAATATATATCTATTGTTTTAATAAACAATTTTTAACATTTTTCTTCATTACATTCAAAAATTTTATTTATTTCTTTCTCAAGATCTTTTTTACCTACATTTAAAAAGGTTAGACAGATTAAATTGAGAACTAACAACGTCCCATAATATTAAATGACTTTAAATTGTTTTTTAATTTAGAAAAAAATCAGCAATAATCAACTCCTGAATTTAAATATCAATAGAATGAGGCGTTAAATGATGTTCAGGAAATAAATCTCATTGCTCCAGCACTCTCTGTCACTTCAACAATAGATGCCGTAGCGGCAAACACTAAATGAGATTTTAAATTTCTGGGAGTTATTTCCAACCACATCAGGCGCCGAAGCGCGAGGGAAATAATTTATTTTTCCATTTCCCGACCGAGCTGTCATTATGAATTTTATTTTCATTTTGTAGCCGTCTTTTAAAGCCCTAGAGACTGCGAAGGAAATAAACATCAGTGGGCACACAATGCCTCGCGTTGCATTGGGAACCATCACAGCCAAGATGGTTACTTTCGGTAAAAGCACTCAGACTTATAGCTGCGGGATGCAACAGCAGCTGGGGGGAGCTTTCTCCTCCGCGCCACTTGTGTGCCCAGTTTCTCTCTCTCTCTCTCTGCCCTCCAAAGAACAAAGTTCCGCACTCCAGATCAACTTTCTCAAAAAACAATCGTGTTTATTGATTCTAGAAGGTAGAGGGTATTTATCGTTGTTACCCTTCTCGTCGCTCCCTAGCGCGCCCCCTCTCTCTTTTTTCCATTCTCTCATTCCCTGTGATCACTGGGGAAAATTTGCAAATGACATCACCACGGCTGAATCAGAAACACTTAGGAGAGTTCGTTTTTCAGACAAAATACACGCAAGGGACTAACAAAGAAAATATTCAGGGGTATTTGTGCGATTGGAGAATCCATTCGAGTGGAAAAAGCATTTAAATTTTTTGTAAACACAAATAAAAACTTTCCTGTTTGTGGAGAAAAAATTTATGCAGAGAGCGAACTGTCTGAAGTTTTTTTTTCGATTGCTTCGGCAATCTGTCTCTCCCTTGAAAACATGTCTCTCGGTTGGGGGTTGCGAATAATTCTGATCAACAAATGGTTCGCAGTGCGAGAGCAGGCTTGATGACAACTTTCGACATTTCGCCGGGGTCCATTGTGGCCGCGATATTCAGTAGCGCGCCGGAACTATTTGTCTCTCTCGCCTTTTGGGTTACAAATACCTTTCGCGCGCCACACCGACGAGTGGGAGCATGAGAAATGCATTAGCCTATATAATTACAACCACAATACGGGTGACAAAAGGCTGCTTCAGTATCAACACGAGAGCAGATTTATTCGCTGTCGCATACAAAGGCTGCCGCGCGCCGACGATTCTCGTGATGAATAATCCCTCGCGTGAGAGTAGCGACGCAGCATTTCTGATCCCGCAGCAATTCTCTATATATTATATTTTACTCTTGACTGCAATTCTCACGCACAATTTTTGCGTGCTAGGGTGCCTCATTAAAAAAGAAAGATTTTTTCATGATATGCTCTCTTTGTTCTTGATGACAAAAGAAAATTTTGTTAAGTAAGATTTTTTATTTGATTTTATAATTTATGTGCAAAATATTATTTTTTTATAATTTGAAAGTGAAAATTTATTTATAATCCGTGGATTTTTAAATCAAATCGTCACTTTTGTGATATTCTTACAGATTTTTGCCCATGCCCTGATCTACTTTGGTCTGGACGGAGATCGATTCCAATCGAACGCTGTCCACGCATCGCCAAAGTTTCTCAACATGACCACAAATGACACTTCCCGCAACATCACGGTACCTCTGATGGGCCGTCTGGGTCGCTACGTCAAAGTCCAGCTCGTTTTTTCAGCACCTCTAATTCTCCTCAGCGAGATTTCCTTTGATTCAAGTATAAAAATTATTTGATAAAAATCATTTCTGATTCTAAAAAATGAATTTTTTTTAGCTCCCGTTGACTCGAACATAACCGAGGAGCTTCTGGAGGAGTTCTACGGCCAAGACAGCCAAGTGGACAACTCCGTCCACTTCCAGCAGAGCAACCTGAATCCCGACGTGCAGAAAAAGTCCGGCGAGACGACCCATGCGAGGAAGGAGGTCTCGCCTGGTATGTACAAAAAAAAGGATTAAAAATTCACACATTGTGACGTCGTAAAAATCACATTAATCCAAATCAAGCGTGCGGTCGGCCAAATCTCGGGCGTAATTACGAAACTTTGCGAACTATGGGGGTCGCCGGCTGGTGGGTGGTTGTAATGGTTGCGTGCGTTTCACGCGCAAAAACTATCATCAATCATTTAAATGAGCAAAATGACGCGTGTTCGTGGCGCCAGCCGGGGCCCGGGAGCCACAGGGATAATTTGATAAATTACATCGTCAGCTAGACAAGCACTCGGTAATTAACTGGTTGGCAGATCAAACACTCGTGATCCAGCTCAGGCCTAATCCCCCGATCATACCTGAGCTGACGTCCGGCCGTGTGCGGTCCCTTCGTATCTGGATCGCGCGACGCGCGGCCATTGTGTGTGTGTGTCTGTTAAAGTGCGCGTCTCCCGGGGGATCCGCAGGGGGCACACATACACGTGGTGTGCATATCGCTTTGTGTCGTGCAAGCCGTCAATGTGCATATCGCGCGTCGGCATTATAATTTGAAAGGCCAATTACCGTGAGCTTGCACCACCGCGTGCTGCTTGGATAAGCCCAGGGTGTGTGCACGGGACCGCCGCCTGTTTGACCTGCTGAGCCATGTGTGCTGACAAATTTGATCAAGGTTACGTTGGTTGCGCTGAAGTAACATATTGATTGACGTTGCTAATGAAAATGCGGTGGGCAGTATTCGAGACAAGACTTGGGCAACCTGCAGATATAAATTCTATATGAATTTTGAACTTTTACTTATATTTCAGAGCCAAAAGTTTATCCACGATTCAAATTTTAATTATTCAGATAACTAAAAAATCCTACTGTTCATATTCTCGTCTAACAGAACAACAATAAAATTGAATTTTATATGCTAATAAATTAGATCATATCTGATAAAAGAAATAGTAATTAATTTAAGTTCGAGTATGCAACTGTTTGAACACGTTCGTACTGCAGGTTGCATAGTGAAGTAAAGTAAAAAAATATAAATGGTAATCAACTTTTATAGGAAATGTGTTAGTTGTATTCAAAGCAAATAAAGCGATATTGTATATTTATTTACTTTATTAATTTTTGCTATTCGATAAAAAATTACATAATATTCTGACCCTGTACAAATTGATTACATAACGATAACGGTGTCTATTCTCAAGATATTGCGTCTTTGTGGCTTATTATATTCATTGTCTGAGTTACACAATATGGCTGTACAATAGCACTCTCAATCTCTAAATAGTCTCTTTGTATTCTTTCTTTCTTTCATGCAAGGCAATATTGAGCGCCAGAGGAGAGCCGCCGGTCGCAGACAAGAGGCTGTGCCTCCTTCATTTTCCATTCACTTTTGACGGCTTCATTTGGCTATTTATGATTTCACAGATCAAAATATTGCATACTCTTCAAACACGGTCCTTTTCATCGCTAAAATAAGAAAAAAGGGCGCTCTCTTTTGTGCGCCAAAGAAGGATTTCGGCCGAGCAGAATGACATCCTTCATATATCGTGAAGGAGTTGGTCTCTACCCTTGTCCGGCTCGCTCTCGAAAAAAGAATGAACTCGGGCGATAAAAGCTCTTTGCGTTCAATTTTGCGGAAAATCAGTATTTCGTTTGATTTATTCGCCTCCATCTCTCTCACCCCCCGTTTTTTCACCCTTGTGACTTTGCAGCGAGCAGCGCCCCAAGTGAACAGGCGTATATTGGACTCGTCACCGGTGTGCTCGCCGTCCTGGCCATCCTTCTCGGTTCGGCGGTGGGCCTCGTCATCAGGCGCACGCGCAAGAAGGACCTTTTGCACACCGCCCTGAAAGGACCCCTCCCTGACAAAAGGGCCACCATCAACATGCGGGACCTGCGCATGAGCATGAGTCTCACGCCGATCAGCAATGGTCTCATGTCCAACAACAGCAATACCAACCCCAACACGCTTGGTAAGAAAAACGGCACCCCAGGAGGACCTGGGGGTCTCTACGGACACGTGATGGGCGACGAGACAGACAGCGAGACCTCCTCTGTTTACCACGAGCCGTTCAAACTCCCTAACAGCAAGCAGGAGTATGGGTGCTTGTTGAAAAAGGACAATCTCAGCAAGTCTGGGGACTACACAGGTGAGTTTTTATTATTTATTCTTGAAAACAGGTCAATTAAAAGATATTTGATGAAACAAGGAAGAGGCAGATTTCTCGGAAAAATTTATATTTAATAATTATACTGTCATTTGCGAGGAAACTGAACAATTTTCTCTTGCTACCTTTTTAATTTGCAGCACTTTTAATTAGATTTATGACCTCGAGGCACCTCTGTAATTTACCTGCCCCTTTGTTCCACTCTGAAAGGGAACACAGGTTGAGTAATTAAGAAAGAATTTCTTTTCAAAAACACGCTTTTCATTAAAGAGAACAAAAATGTTCGTCCCATTATTTTTCATCCCTCTTTATGCTCATAATTCAATAAGAAGTAATGAATTCATTTTCTAAATCATGCTCAAAATACATTTCATAAAGAAAATTCATTTTAACTCGAGCTTGAAAATTAATTTTTCTTTTTACAATTTTCATTTAAAATATTGTTTGTACACCCATTGCCTATAATTATGTTTTGCACAGTACAACGCAAAGTTAACAACCGCGGTATTGCGTCCAATAATTTATTCCATTAATTTTCTTCACAAACGTCAGTTCAAAATTTAATCATTTGCATATTGTTTGCTACAACGAGTGTATCATACTCCGCAGGGGTAAATATTCATTTCAATTAGCGCTAATAAAATAATCCCTTTTGACATCCAACCTGGAAATGGAATTTCAATTATTAATGCGTTTGTTGTTTGCTTTTTAATATCGTGCCCCTTGTGCGCACAAGCTCCCTACCCTGATGTTCAAACGCGCCCTCGCGGCTCGATAGCAAATATTGAATAAATTTACAAGACAAAATTGAATATTTATAAAGAGAGAGTTCCAATAAAAAAAATTAATCGTGGTGATGAATACAATAAATATATTGCGTTTCCGCTTTGCCAGCAGATTTCACAAGCGTGAACAGTTTCCAAGAGGAAATCAAGTACTCGTCACAGTCCTTTTACTGCCTCACTCAACCCCTAAGGCCACCGACCAATTCAGCCACTTTCCCAGCCCCCACAAAGCAGACCCCCAGCAAACAAAAGACCCCTGGTACGCCCGCCTCAAGCAAGACTCTACAAGGCCCCGTCTCGGCGAATTTGGCTCCAACTGCGCCCCAGGAGAATTTCTACGCAGCCACTGATATTGTAAAGGTCGGTGAATGCAAATTTACTCCTTTATTTTACGCTCCTTTTGTTTTGTTAGCCCTTTAAAGTCCAAGATTTCTTGGATGGGTTTCTTAAATGGCATTACTTTTTGTCACAGACGGAGCGCAGGGAGCAACATTTTACGCCAGGACGATTCACGCCGCTTTTGCTACCTGAACAGACCCCAGCTGGCGCTCAAGAGAGCCCCGTGTTTGAATTTCCTAGGCACAGGCTGAGGCTTCTAGAGAAACTAGGTGAAGGAGCCTTTGGAATGGTAAAAATAATATTTATATCAATATTTAAATATATTAACTTTTTAACCTCAAAAATAAACATTTAAAAATTAATAATATGTAAGTTAGCCTTGCTAATTTTTTTTTAAATAAAAATTTGACTTATATTTTAAAATAAAACTAAAGATACCAAATTTTGGAATAGTTATGACGGTTTAATTGATTCATAAATAATTTAAAAAAATGTTTTTAAAAAATAAACAAGCATGTATACAAAATAAAAAATATTATACATAATATTTTTATCAATAATAATTCATTATGGTGGCAAATAATATCTATGATGTAAACAATAAGTTTCAAGATTATTTGAGTCAATCATTATTACTGTTATTTTACATCTGGATATACCGTACATAGGCGTACAACTAAAAAGTAGTTATACGATACCGTGACTGAGGGTAGCATAAAACAAACTGTGGAAGTGGTGGCACGCAGGCTCACACTCAAATGTTTGCACACTTTGCTATTCTTGTAACCCTGTTTGTTGCTCATAAAATCGTGCAACGGGAGACGCAGTGGCCTGTGTTTTCGCCACATTGGGCCCGTGTGCTAATCGATTTTCCGCTGCCTCAAACACGTTCGCTCCGTAAAAGGATAAAAAAAAATATATATAAAAAAGAAAAGGATTTTTCAATTCCCCGTGGTAATTTTACTTAATGCTAACCTTTTTCTTTTTCTTTTTCTTTTTTCCTCAGGTGCACCTTTGTGAAGCCGACGCAGTGCCCGAGTGCAGCGGCAAACGTCTAGTCATTGTCAAGTCTCTGTGGCGCGGCTGCCCCGAAAGCAGCAGGCAAGAATTCCTGCGGGAAAGCAGGCGGCTCGCATGGGCCCTTCGGGACCCCAATTTAGCTCGCGTTGTGTCGCTGTGCACCGCCGAGGAACCGCTGTGCTCCCTGATCGAGGCGCCGGAACTGGGAGATCTGCCGACTTTCCTCACAGAGGGATCCGAGCCCAACGCTCCACACCCCGTCAGGTAGGACAATAAATTTATTTTCGCACGAATTTCAGAACGGCAGTAAACATCTGGAACAACGAGAATGGAGCTTTTAATTTATTTCCGTCCCTCCGTCTGGAGACGCTTTTTTTAATTAAAAAGGAAGTAGCAAATCACAGAGAGTTCTTATTGATTTCCGCACTAGCACCCAGCACCGGCGGGCTGCTTTAAAATTCCAAGTTTGAGTGGCACACACACTCGCGCGGTCTTTGAAGTGGATACCAGAAATGGAGAAACTCAACAAAGAAGGGCCGTTTAATTAGTCTCACTGCGATTTAATCTGCACGCGCGCCTCGGCCGTGCAAGTGGAGCGAGAGCACTTTTTTGCGCTCTCCTTTGTCTGGAGCACTCAAGAGTCGCAGCCTCTCCTTATCTGCCTGAGATGTGAATGCGTGGCCGACTTGAGGAAAAAGGAGGGCCCTTTTCAAACCGTGTGGGTCTATTGATTAAAGCTGCGCGCCAGTGTGAGTGAAGTTGGAGTGGAGAGCCCAACAGACGGCAGGGATTAGCAGCCAGTTCTAAATGGATATATCGTGTCCCAACGCCCAGATTAACTTTTTACACATACGCAGCCAGCACTTCGGAGGAGCAGTTGACGATGACGGAATACACAATTCAACGCGGCCACCTCCACCGCTCTTTTTTAAATCTGCTTCTTATCCGCGTTTAAAATAAGTTAACCGTTTTTAAACACAGCATATATTTTTTCCCAATTATTAAAAAACTTATCAATATCTATTTCATTAATTTTTATTTAAAGATAAATTGATTATTTATTTTGTGGTTTATTTTTGTTTCAGCTATGGGTGTTTGATCTACTTTGCAACGCAAATCGCGTCTGGAATGAAATACCTAGAAAGCTTAGGAATCGTGCACCGAGACTTGGCAGCCAGGTAAGCAATCAGAACGGAAATTGCGAGTTTTATTTCTGTTTGTTTTTTCTTTCGCCTTTATTTCAATTCTAGTGGCAAAATGCTGCTAAGCGCTAGGGTTGTTCGCAGGTGCCCTTGTCGGCAAAATATCGTATTGGGAAAAATTGATAGCTTTTCCGCCCTCAGTCAGACGGCTTTTTATTATTCGCGACACGCGCCTGGCTCGAAAACGAATTGCTGTCAAAAACAAAGCGCCCTTAATAGAATGCATGTCACTTTCCACCCAAGCAGATGCAGCACGCCAAAGCTCTCCACCGTCGTCGCTTTCGCCCACGAATTCTCGTTAATTTTTCACGCTTTTGCAATATTAATTAACGCCAGCTAGAGAGGGTAAATGAAGGGCAGGGGAAGTGGCTGGCACGCCGCGTCGAAATTCATTACAAACTTTGTTGGTAATGGATTTTTCAAGTGATATACTTATTATTATCATCAAGGAACGTGGCGCTTTTTCATTAAATACGAATCACGATTTGAATAGCTTACTCACAATCGTTCTGTCGGTTTTATTGCAGGAATTGCTCAGTAGGGAGAGGCTACAGCATTAAAATTTCGGACCATGCGATGTTCTGCAATCGCTACGAGGCAGACTACTACGTCAGTGACACAAAAGCCAGACTTCCCATTCGCTGGATGGCATGGGAAAGTCTCCTTCTGGTAATTAATTATTTGCTATCCAACTTTCAAACTCCATTAATTTTAGTCGCCCTCTCCTAGAATTCACTTTTTGACATATACTCTGTATGTCAAAAAAAAAGTTGAAAAAAATAAAATTAGCTTTCATTTTGTTTTTCCTCTTCTTTTTTTGCAGGGCAAGCACTCATGCAAAAGTGATGTTTGGTCGTTTGCTGTGACTCTCTGGGAGGTCCTCCAGCTCGGCTCGGGCAGACCTTTTGCAGAATTGTCCAACGAGCAGGTTGTGGAGAACTGCAGTCACTGGTACCAAGACAACGGCCACCAGAGGCTACTTTCTCGGCCGGCCGCGTGCCCCCGAGAAATCTACGACCTGCTGAACGAATGCTGGAGGCGACACGAAGCAGACAGGCCGCGTTTTTCTGAGATCCATCTCTTCCTGCAACGCAAAAACCTCGGCTTTGTTCCACCGCCCACGTTGGCTTGAACTGACTGAGCAAAAAGAAGAAAAAAAACTCTCGTTTGCTTGTCTGAAAAACAGGTTGCAAGGAAGTGGCCGCAAGAGCTTGTTGTTTTTGTTGTCATATTGGTGCAAATTTGTTATCGGTGAGAAAGAAATTGCACAAATTTTGCAGCGCCACTTTCTTCAGCCCCTCTTTTAAAACTGTCATCTCTCTGAGTGCCTGTCCTATGATAGTCTTTCTACGTATAAACTCTCCAGTCCCTCTGCACACGTGAGCTCAGGGACTGCTATACACTTCTTGGTTCTACGTTAGTTTATTTGGTGTTTTCCTTCCCTCATTGTGTAAATACATTTTCCAAAGTGGATCTCATCATCAGTAACAATTGATTTCTCGCGGCGAACATTGAAATAAACTGTATTTTCCTTAAGTGATGTGATATAGTGCGTCATATAATCCAGCGGACTGGCTAAAAATTATAATAGCATTGATGAAGTTTGATGTATGTGTTTATCTATCTGAGTGGTAGTGTTTTCATCACCGCGCAATTAACCTCCGACGAGAATTTTTTGGTTCATTCTTTCATTACGGTTCCAAAAATTTAATTACTATATCAAGAAAATACTAAGAAAATTGAGCGCTTGCGGCGCAGCAAAAACATTTTTCCGAAGCAGAAATAAGCCCTAATTTGATATAAAACTAGAAAATTACAGCTGAATTTGATGCAGAGAGCGGACCAAATTTAATGGAAATTGTGTTAAATATCCTGTTACCGAGCTGGGCGCTGTGGTATTAACCTCCAGAATTTCAAACTCTCATAACTCATAGACGTGCAAAAGAAAAAAACAACGAACTCGCAGATTTTCTCTTTATTTCGTACGTCGTGTGGTTTTGATTAGATGTTTGCGCTTGCATGAATGGGTGTTGGAAGAGGGAAAATAAATAATTATTAAAAGCTCATTATGAATACTGTACATTTAAGAGATTTAAAAAAGCTACTTTATTATATCATTAGAGGAGAGCAACAAAATCGGAAACGATGAAACATAGAATTGACTGACAATCCTGTACGATGATTTGAGAGCACCCGCCCCTATAACAGACGTAGAAAAAGCAGCGAGTACAGAGCAAGAGGCCCCAGCAAAAGATTTCTCGGCGATCATTGGGCCCGCGAACGGCGAATTTTATGCTAGCGTTCTCGACACAAAAGCTCAATTCCAGTGTTAAGGGCACACGGGCCTATTTTCAATAAAAGTAAAGTCGCGTAGTTGATTTCCCATTTTACATTCTCATTAGTGGTTAGTTTAGAGTGTCGATGGTGAATTTAAAAGAAAAAAAAACGTTATCTTCAAGCACGTAGTTCCATTTTGAATTTATTAGATAAAAATAAAAATTCACACAATTAAGTGAAATAGAATTGAGAGCGAAAAGGAGTAAAAGAAACGAGCTGATTGCAGTTACCAAATTTTTCTTGACACAAGCTCGGAGACCAAAAGGGTATAAGGAGATTTAACTTGAAACTGTAGCTAGACGAGGCGTGTTCAAAAGATGGAATGCTGGCTTTTTCTGTTAATAAAATTTAACATTTTCAATAATTTAAACTTTTTGTGCAGTTTGCAATCAATAATGGGTATCATAATAAGGTCGTTTACTGACTTGCCTGCATTCCATTTTCATCAGCTCACAGTACCCCAATATCATTCTGTTAGTCTATCGGTGCCAAATATATGTCTCAGCTCGGATTTTCATACACACATGAGAAAGTTAGCTATCGTGTAATTATTGATAAAATAAAACAAAAATAAAAGCGACGCTGAGAGGTAAGGATGAAAGAGTACAAGTGAGATTACTGTGTATTTTACATAAAGGAATAATTCACGAAAAAGGTCTAAAAATTTTGCGATATAAAATAATATCGTGCATTATTTTTATGATGTATTATCTCTGATTTGAACATTCTTTAGGCAGCGTATAGGCGAAAAATGACCACTTTGAACGCAGATTGTAATTGGCCGAAAGGAAAATGTAAAAATTTTAAGCAAAGTCCAAAGTTAACTTGAAATTTTTCGCCTAAAATAAAGCTGTCAGTGATCTGATATCGCCGCTGTAACTTGTAACATATATAGTTGTACTTTTGCATCCACTGCAAAAATTTCTTTTGTAAATTAATATTCCTCAATATGCACATAAGCATATACTAGGATTATGGAAACACTCACGAGAAACAAATTAATAATAAAACGAGACTATACCGTAGCTCTCCCTGATGTAGTTGGCTCTTCGACGATCTTCCTCCTGTTGTATTTTCATACTCAACGACCCGTGGCTGAATTGTTTGCCAAAAAGTAGAAATCGTTCTCACCCAAAATGACCCTGTATATCAAAGCCGACAATCGCCTGTGAATTTCAGTAATTAATGGAAAATGGCGCTTTCTAAAAAAAATACAGGAATAGCTGAAAATATCACGGAGCAATTGATATTGTCGCTTCAGTAGGTCTAAAATCCCTTATCGGCGATTCTTCAGACGGAATTCCCTAAATTGTGCCAAAAACACATCCTCTAGTTATTTTCTTGAAGCAAATCATATCACCAGTGTAGTGTTTAGTATTAGAATAATAAATCACAACAATATATTGATCGATTTCCCGACCGAGAGAAAACTATTTAGCATATTAAGACACTTTATTAAAAACCAACCAGCAACCTGATCTCTGATTTAATAAAGTTCTTTAATTCTAATAATATTTTTTAACCATGGAATTGACAAATGATTGCTTTTATGCTATGTCTTTGTGTAACGTTTGCTGACATGAGTGTTGTGCAAATTGAATTTGACTGAGGCGGATGAAATTATTTGTTAATAATCTTGCACAGAAAAAAAATTAGCAATGAATTCTCATATAATTATCATGTTGTGTCCATATGCATATATTATTGATTCTCAGATTGATATTCTCCGCGTTTTGTCACATATCAGATTTGACTAAGATGTGTAATTATGTAAAGAAAAGATTACGCAGGATTATGCCGTATTCACAAAAATGTCTTACCATCAAAACATTGTATAATTAAGGAAGGTGTACGAACAATTTTTGTTGATGTTGAAATCTATCAAATTAAGCAGAAATATGAATTGTGAAGAAAATCACATCTTCTTTTTTGTATTTCATCATTTCATGTGTGACCACATAGTCTGAAAATAAAACATTTTACGTGTTGGCTTCTATAAGATTTTCGTTTCAATATTACTTTACTCCTCCATTTATTTGCAGAACACTGAAGGAAAAAAATGGTGCTTAATGCACACACTAAAAACTCAATTTCCTGGATGTTATAAATATTCAAAGAGCTCTGCGCTCTCGCCTGCCTGCTCGCATTTTGTGTTTTGCATTGCCCCTGGTGAAACATGAATAATAAATGTTTTGTGCATTCATGGCTTAGAAAGGGATCACCTCTTTTCCTGCGCGCGTAATGAAAACGCTGTCGCTCAAGGTTTTCGAATCAGTAACGGGGGTGAGTTTTGACTCGCACTATTAATCAAAAGTCCAGTGTATCCTATGCACATACTACAGGGGGTGAGAATGAATGGCTAAATGCGAGGCGACGAAGCAAATAACAAAAAATACACTCGTGCGATAACCATCTCTATTGCCTGTTTCGAGGCATTTAAATTTAATATCGTGCAAGGGAAATAATAGATGATGGCGTTTATCATTTTGCTTCTCTCATGCAAATGAAACTTATTTGTGTGCAATATTCTTTTGTGTGTGGGGAGACACTGCAATAAAGCGAGAGGAAAGAAATCTTAATGATTTATCGCAGTTTAAATTTCCGAAAAGGAAATAACATAATTTTTTACGCTGACACATTGTTAAATGTGATATCATTTATTAAAAATTTGTTTAAGTATATTTTTTTCGCTTTATTCATCGTTTCGTACAAAATAATGATATTAATTTTATCATTATAAATGCATACATGAATTAATTTTGTCAATTTAGCAAATGCATCCGTATACTTTTGCTGTATTAAAATTTACAATTATATGAATTAAATCTAGGTTTAATAACTCTTAAGTTATCTATTAGCAATAAAATATGCTCGGCTAATCATTAAAAATTTTATAACTGTTTCTTTTTTTTTAATAATACTGATTTTAATAAAAATAGTCTTTTTATTTTACAACTTGTTACACAATTTAACAGGTTGCATGATAACAAAAAAAAATTTTCAACCCATATATTATGCACTCAGTTCTTAATAAAAAAAATGAAACTAGAATGCAAAATTTATAATATGGAGGTTTGGTATTTTTGTGTATCACATAAATACCATGGTTGGAAATTCCACCCTCGTTGCTTTTTGTCCGAAATATGTCCGTATAAAACTGTATTCATAAAATGTAAAATGCCTTTGCTACGCTTTCCTTTAATAAGTGACGCGTGTCAAAAAAGATGAAACTGCGCCTCCACCCCAATAATTTATTGGTACCGCATATTGTCTGAGGCGCGCTCACAATGATCGCCGTAATAATTAGAAAGGCAGACTGGAGAGGATGCGTCTGGGTTACAGCGAAATGGGACGGGAGCGCATAATGTTTTGTACTGGGGTGGGATTACAATACGCGCGCAGGGTGGATGTGTGACGCACCCTCGTCGCACGGGTGTAAAACAAAACCACCCCTTGACTGCACAAGAGTGTGTAATTTCGAGAACATGCAATTTATGCATTGCTCGTGTTAGCCGCGCGGCTAATCTAAAACGTCAAACTGAAGTGCAGAGGAGCAAAAAGGGATCGCAGGACAGTTGGGACGACGAGCGGTTAGACCGACGGCCAATTAAACATGTGGGCAACGAAAATCTCAACCCCTGACAAAAACTGATCACTTGATTTGCACCAATAGGTCCTCATGAACTGTCAGGCCAGTTTAAAAAAAAATCTACATTTCTGCTTCACAATGAAGTGAATTGTAATCTTATAAAAAAATTTTAAAAATGAAGTAAATAAAAAAAATTTTTTCAATTACTGAAATTAATTTTAATCAAATTTTCTGCCACGTTTTTGCATAATTTTTTTAGATAAATGGAAAAAATGCAAGTATTTTTAATTAAAGATCTATTTATTGTGTTTCATTAATCAGTAAAAAAAATAATCAATGACCACACATCAATTTTTCCGAAAGATAATTTTGAGCAATATGTTCTATATTTATTTATTTACTTATTTATTAATTTTCTTTGTAAGAAAAAATTGTATGACCTTTTATTCTCTAAATTTTGTTTTTCTTATTTTAAAGTATATGTCTATTAATTTTTTCCAATTTTTTTCATTCTCTTGTTTTCAAACACCAGTTTTAGCTGTGCTTTAGATGAAATAATTCATTTAATGGTGTTTGGAAGATTTGAAAGTAAAATGCCTCTCAACTTTAGGAAAGGGCCGGCCATGAGAGCAGCGCAGGGTGTGGTTGAATGCGAGGCCGCAGGTGTTTTGGCAAAGCCAGCAGATCCCTCGTTAAGTCCCAGCATGCACTCTACTTATTACTTTATCATCATCATACATACATTATGTGGGCAAAGTTTTATATTGGAGTGCGACTCTGAGCGCCAGAGTGAGCATGTGGCGGAATTAGACCTCTAAACGCAGGCACACAAGATTTATTCCATTTGCATGGTAATCAGTGTGCGCATAAAATGTCCAAACCCCACTTTGCTGTAATTCCGGCAGGCACAATAGTGTTGTTTATTTAGTTGCACACAAACATATATGTGTGTGTAGTGTCATTTGTGTTTGCAATCCACGCCCAAGGACAATTTAGCTGATATGCAAATTTTGATTTATTTCAACCTAAGCCCTGCTTTAAACTTCTGAAAATTTATGGGTCTCTGCTTCACCATAAAGTGGTCAAAATTAAAAACATTTCACTTGTGATATTATTTAAAATAGATTCGATATATTTTGTCAACAAGTAAATTTAAAATAAAATTTTGGATCATGTCGATGCACAGCATTTTTTTTGTCCACAATATAAAATCCATATGAAATATTCCAGTATAAATAACAGCAAATTTCAACTTATGAATATAAACTACATTTGCATGCAAATATTTTTTGTTGACCGTATTTCAACAACACTTTATAAAGTAATTGTCAATTTGAGTGGGTAATATGGCAATTTTTAAAATTGCAAAATAGTTGCATATATAAATAAAAAAAATTTACCTCATCACTCAATCTTTCTTGTTGACTAGAGCAGGTCGATTCAGAAACTGATCTAAAGTCATTCCGCTGTCATGTCCATTTGATGGGATGCTCGACAATTTGTCAATGTATGATTTTGGCAGGCTAGACTGATTTGCACCCCTTAAAATTGTCTCGAGGTAAATTGGCGATGGACGTCTAGCTTGCGGAATTTTTGAGTAAGTTCCACCGGTCAATGGCTCTTTTGCATTGTATCTGAAAATTATAATTTTTTAGAAACTTCTATTATTAATGAAGCCAAAGTGAAATCAACCTGTAAGTCCTGCAGTTGTAAGTCGAGCCAGCAGCATCAGTTACATTCACATGTAAAACCTGGTAAACCCCATCTTTCACACCTTCTTGACTACAAAAACAAAAGAAATATAGTTATGCAATGGACTAAGAAAGCAGTGAAAAACAAACCGATCAAGTGAATCAATTTGATCAGTGTCCATCTTCCAAACAGCTCCCCACATGTGTGTACCTTCCTCAGGCTCGATGGTGGCAACAGCTCCTCCCCATCTCCTCGAAAAACCAGCAAAATCTAATCTGTAACCCTAAAATTAGTTTGATGTTAATTATCATTTATTTAAGTAAATTATTTATAAATTACCTGCAACTTTGCATTAGTCTGTCGAACAGCCGATGGATTGTTGATGTGGATTCTTTTATCCAAAAGGTTGCTGCCATAGGCAAAATACCAAAATTTTCCTCTTCCAGGCATGATTTTTGCAGATGCTGCGATTTGGAACACGAGCACGCAACAGAAGAGGAGCCGTTTCAGCATCACACTGGAAAAGATAAAAAAAAATTGATCTTTGAGAGTAAAAAGTGATAAAAAAAATAGATAATAAAATTTCAAAATATTTTCCATTTCCACAATAAAGAGAAAAAAATATTAAAGAAGATATGCATTAAACTGGTTATATTTGAAATGAAAAGGAATATTAAATGAATCAATGATATAAGAAGTACTTACATTTACCCAGAGTAGTAAAATATTTTATTTTGTTTGAATATTTTACTATACTGGGAAAAAAAATAAATTGTGTATTTATTTGAAAGCAATCAAAGGTAGAAGACAATTTTTAAATTATTTTCTTATTTGCATGATTTTATTCTAAAATATTCATAAAAATATAAAGAACTAATCTTAGTGAATAAATTATTATTTTCAATTGAAATGCTTTGAAAAAAAGCATTCTTACAGGAGTAATATTATAGTAGAGTAATCTCAGGTAAGAAGTTAATGATTATTTTTGGTTGAGGAAATTAACATTGCAAATTTTGGAAAAAAAACAGGGCATAATTATCAGCAACATTTTGCTAAAATACATAGTGATATAAATTCGCAGCATGCTTTAAAGTACGTACAATGATGATTTGTCGCAAAAAAGTAAAAGTGGCAAGATTAAGAGGTAAACAAACCTGGAGATGTGCGAAAAATCGTCGTGTTTACGTTTTTACGCCGCTCCCGAACGACTGTCCTTGAGAATCACATGTGAATGACGTTCACTTCTTGTTCACTTCTCACGGGTTCGCACCAATTTTAACGGGACTACTTTTTCACGGCGAGTGAAGGAGGGCGAGAGCCAAACATGGAAGGAAAACATACGAGCATCTCAGCCTGCTCGATACGCTACCCCCACCACGAAAGGGGAGTCAGGGGAGTGCGTTGACCAATCAGAGCGCCGCTTTTTACTACTACCAGCAAAGTATCACTGCAGCCGGCCATGTTTATTTAAAAGACGGCGATAAAATGATCACGAATTTTAGCGTCTAGCGGCCGTGATTGTGCCTCCCTTTGTCGGTAAGCATGGTTTTCGCGAAGGGCTTGTTTTTGCAATTATCAAGGGCTGCTTTTTGCAACAGTTTCGTGTAAAGAGCACGTCGCACTGACAGACTGTTTAGCTTCAAGCTGCCTTTTAAATGATCACTGACCTCGTATTACATACGGACATGACCCCTTGGCAAATCAATTTTGAACGAGATTCATTGCAGAGTCGATGGTGAACTGATCTAAAGGGTTGCTACCATGGACATCGAGGAGACAACGGCCCTCGGCCAGCTTTTCCAGCACATCATCACTGACATGAAGGTATGAAACAAGCTGATCGTTCATAGGGGCCATGTTATAATAATTTACAGCTATGTTCGCTGCAGATGCTACTTTTTCTCGATTCAGCATTTTTTATTCATGAATCGCAAACTGCTCTAGCTTTGGCCAGTTTGCTCCGAGGAATATAATATTTTCTAGAGACAATTTTTTGGTTACTTTCAGCCCTCTGTCGTTTTTATTTTGGTTTCAAAATTCATATGGTTTAAAAAGTTCATTGATCCCCCCTCCAAAAATGATTTCATAATTTTTGCTTGATTATTGCTCAAATTTCTTATTTCTTATTGGCGTGTTATTTTTGTTCTGCAGAATGGGGCCCCCTTATGGGAAGACTTTGTCAGCAAAGCTACCAAGCTACATTCATGCTTACGGTAATTATCATTACTCATCTCTCGTGCACATGGTATCAATTACAATAATTGTGGTGTTCAATGTAGGGCAACTTTGCAAGCAATTGGACTTTATCTGGAGGCGTTTCAGAAAATCGCAGATGCAGCTACCAACTCTAAAGGTTTGATAAATTTATAATTTTGCTGCAGCTCTTGTTTACTCTCCATGTTCTAGAGATGTTTGATTTAAAACTTTTATCTGTGTTTACAGGAGCAACCAAAGATATTGGCACGGCCCTCACGAGAATTTGCTTGCGTCAGAGAGCAGTGGAGAGCAGAGTTAAATCTTTTACAAGGTAATAAATATTTTATGTTTATTTCTTTCACTTTCATTATGGATGCTAAAATTATCTCAACTTTATCTCTCTAATTTTTTTAAAAGTTTCTAATCCGTCCATTATTTTTCCTTTAGTGCTATTATGGATTGCCTTGTAAATCCTCTGCAAGACAGGCTCGAAGATTGGAAAAAAGCCACAGTAAATTTAGATAAGGAACACAGCAAAGGTAATATTTGTAAAAATTACACATTTTACTATCTTTATATTAATTTCTGAACTACAGAAACGAAAAGAGCCAGATCGGAGCTCAAGAAACGTTCGACTGACACTTTGCGCCTGCAAAAGAAAGCTCGTAAGGGCCTGACTAGCACCTCTTCATCTTCGTCTCTGGCTCAAGGAATCACTGCAGCAATGGACCCTCTTGACTCTCAGCAAAAACTACTTCAGTCTGGCATACAGCAGTTAGGAGAGTGTGAAGGCAAGTCTGTCCGAGCTGTGTTGGCAGAGGGACGTGGCAGATTTTGCATTTTTGTCACTTTGCTAAGACCAGTACTTGTGAGTAATTAAAATTAATTCGTGTTGTCTAGAATATTAATGTATTAAAAAAAATCAGGAACAAGAAGTAGCCATTTTCTGGGAACTGAGTCACGTCCAGGAGGCACTTGATGAGCTCAACAAAGCCATTGGAGATCCTAAAACTCTACCAGATACTATTGAACAGGTTTATATATACTGAAACTTAGTTTTCCACTTTGACAAGAGTAAAATTTTGCGTAATTAGGCTTTGCAAGAGCTGACAAATGCCTCGGCTGCTCAAGAAGCAGCTTGGGTAAATGCATCCAACACAAACAATCGAGATTCGTCCCCGCCCAGTAGCATGGGTTCTAGAAAGTCCTCTGTTGGCTCTGCTGCCTCTCTGCAAAGTCTGAGCAGCCACAGTGGAGGTGCTGCAGCTAGTCAGAATGCCTGGCCCCAAAGAGCAAACACAATGAGCAAGGTACCCCTTTCTTACATAAGTTTGCCAAACATTTCTTTTTATTCCTATGTCATTTGTTCATTTATTGAAAAGCATGGTGATTGAATGTAAAGTAGATTCAGTTATTTTACCGTCGGCGTGTTATGAGTGTCAATTTCTTTTGTTTTTACATTCTATTACATAGCTTTCGAGACCTCCTGCATGGTTACGTGCTGTGTCTCAAGACTCTGGATTCGTCTCATCGCAAGATAGACTTTTCCCCTACTATCTTGGCCAAAAGGTATTTTTGAGTGCATCAAGTTTATTTTTATTATTTTGTTAAAAAAAATTGCATGATAAGCTTGAAAATTTGTTTGTAACAAAAGTTTTGTGTTTTTTAAACGTTTGCTGCATCAAATTTTAGCACAAGATTTTTTTTTTTTTTTGTTATAAAGTTTTATTTTTTCTTGCATTTTTTTTTTTTTAGAAAAATTTTAAATTTTGTGCAGTCTCTTAAATGCTTGATCATTGATTTGCATCAAATGACTCATTCTGTATTAACTTCGATGCACCTCTGATGATTATCAATAATAAATTTAATAACATGACTTTTGTCAATCAGGGGAATGACACTGCGAATGGAGATGGTTCCAACTGTAGCACTCCAACAACCAGCGGTGGAATTATGGAAGAGCTTGCTGCACCTGATTGCAAGGATTCTGGCACTGCCAATCAGCCCAGTTCGTGGCCAAATCTTCAAGAAACCTTGCAGTTTGAAAGAGCAGCAAGTGCCATAATGGCTGACCAGCAGCAACAGCAAGTCGGTCCAGCTGCTGCTCAACAGAACCAGCGCAGACCGCATACTATATCAGCCGCATACGGCCAACCAACTGCCAGGCCACCTATAGCTTCATACCATTTTTCACCTCCACCCTCAAGCCCTGCTCCTGATGGACAGGTTAATTTTTTTTTTTTTAATCCAAGAAATATTTTTTTATGAAAAAAATATCTCCAGAATTCTAGGCCCCCAACAGGCGCAGGTGCCAATGGAAGACCAGCTGTGCCTAAGCGGTGTTCTTCATTAGAAAGACCTGAACGTCCCTCTGTCCTAGTTCCAAAGCCTGCTCATGCTCGCATTGGTAAGTTAATTGTCAAAAGTGCACATAAGTTGAACTGTGCTTATCTATTGCTGTAATTTCAGATGCTATATACGACCAAGAGACTCCCACAAATGAGGTCATAGTCTGCCCTGTCTACGTCAACATGCACGAACTTGCCAATTTAGCAGCTAACAAATCAACTGACAGAGCTGGTGCCACTGCTGTTGAAAACAAAGTACTATCTCAATTTATTAATACTTTTTTAATTGCATTGAATGTAGGATACCAATATTGCAGCTGTATTTATATATGCTGGATACAATTTAGCAGTGACTTAAAAAAACAAAAATAAATTTTATTTAAAAATAACGTCTTGCAGGATCTTGAGAATAGCAGCGAAAGCTCGCATGAGTCGTCTAGTGGTTACGGCAGCCAAACGATGCCTCTTCATGGTGCCCATGAAGATCTTCCACATCCTGATGGTAAATATTTTTGATCGCCTGTTTTGAATTTATACTTTTTTATTTTATGATTTACAATTTTTTTTGCTTTTTTATTTTTCTCCCATGGCAACTTCAGTTCAAAATGATGATCTGATTGATATGCTTCCGTTGCCTCCATCTCCTTTGATGATCAGACCTGTTCGCCAACTCCATAGACCAATGTCATTTTCAGGTAACCTAATGAGAAGTGGCACTTCTGAATTTGAACTTTCATTAAACACATCATAAGCTCTTAGAAACTACTAACCCCTTCGCTTCATCACACTTATTCTTTTCTTTTTTGGGCTCCCAAAAAATAACATTAAAAAAAAATCAAATTCGTTCTAGGCTTTCCTCCTCACAGTGGCAACACAGGCTCATTCCGAATCCCAAGACGCGGCAGCACAAGTGCTCCTCCTCCACCACCAATTCGCAGAACCTCGTCCATATCTACTGTCAATAAGATGCCACTAGGCGCTGACGACCTTCCGCCGCCCCCTTCACCCTCTTTCTTGCAGCAACAGCACCAGCAAAATCAGCAGCACTTGTACGGCAATATCGGAGAATGTCACATGCGGAGCTACACTGAAGTGCCACACATGCCTAGTCAGAGCCGACGGCCTCCTACCTCGGAAGAAATATACCGAACGTCGACTGTTGCCGATACGGTTCGCACTCTCAGCCAGCAACCATCTTGGAGACCAGGAGAAGAAATATACAAGCCTGTTGCCGACGCCATGAAAAGGCAGTACCAGGATGCCAAAGGAAATGTTGCTGACACTGTTCGCACATTGACCGAGCTTAGGCACCAGCCTGCCAGTCCCATTCAACAAAGAAGGAATGTGAGAGTTTCTAATGAAAATTTGAGCTTGATAGAAGATGATGTTTACGTAAGCAGAAGTCCTGCTACCACTCGAAAGGTATTAAAGGCTATATAAGATTTTACGACTGATTTATCAATGTATTTTCCATATTTTCAGTTATATCAGGACCACCAAATGACAACTAACTACAGTCCTAGCACCAGCCGAAAAATGTTTGAACAGCAACAACAGCAGGCAATTTACAAAGTGACCCGAAATCCAGAATATGAAGACCCATCCAAGCTGCGTCTGATCCAGCAGATGAAAATCAGTAAGCTCAAACAAGAAAAGGCTGGTGCAGGTCAAGGGCACCCTTCGCAAATCATGAGGAGATATTCTGAGGAAGACAGCAAGCCTCAAGAGGCGCAGCAACAGACATTTTTGTTGCAAAGTCTGACCACCAGACTGACACAGATGCAGATGAACAACAAAGCCTTGCGGGTGCGGAGTCTGATTGCCAGCCGAACGGTCAAGGATCCTACCCTGGTGCATGACAGCTTGATGGATCAGATTAAACGGGGTACTCGACTCCGCACTACTCCCACAGATGAGCACGCTCATCCTCAGTTCTCTTGAACAGCAATAATTCCGAATAATTATAAGAAGTAATCAAAAAAATACTTACCACTTAAAAATTAAAATTCTGGCAAACTAGAATCAGAATCACATCTGGAGCTATCTTTTGCAGCGCCTTATATGGCAACAATGCAGCAACAAAATGTTATTTTACAGGACAATAATATCTGTGCATCTCGAAACAGCTTTTATTTTGGGCATCTCAAATTTCGCCTTGCTGTTGAATTGAAAATTGAAATCTGATTAGCTGTGTACATTTGAAAGTCGAGGCTTGCCATTTAACAAGTGTTTCAATTTCTTAACTGAAATGCTGTTGACTTAAATATCAATTGTGGTGTTTGCCTCCTTGTCAATTATCTCTCCATCTTGTTAGAGAAACATTAAAAACTTGTCTGTACATTGACGGAAATCCACTGAAAAACGATGTTCCCAATTATGACCTTTTTCATGGTGTATGTTTTATATATGCACAATTTCAACACATTCTTTACCTGTTTAAGTTGTTATCTTAATAGCAGGTGATTTGAGTACAACCTATTATTTTTAATTGGCTCTTGATTGATTAAGTTGCATTTGTTTTTTTCACTAGTAGTTTATTAGTCAAAAATCTTTATTAGTGTTCAAATTAGAGAATCGCCGAATATTTACATTCAGAAGTTTGAGAGAAAATATGGAGGCTCAAAACTAAAGTAACTTAAATTGATTTGATAATCTCTTCAAGTCTGAAAATGACCTGGTTAATTAGTAAGTCTTAAAAAGTAGTGAATTGAGTATATCAAGCAATTCTACCTGTTCGTTCTTATATCGCGGAATCATGCTTCCAGTGGCTGCAAAGACCTGCACTTATAGCAAAGCTTCCAATTACACATTGGAAGTAGAAAATCTCAGGATGATTGTAAAACCTAAAATGCATACTAATCTTCAAAATTAATCTATAGGATTTTATTTGTTAGATTAAAGAAGACTTGGAAAAACTAGTTACTAAACAAAATTTTGGAACACACAAGGCAAAAGTCAAAATTTGACTCGATTTGCTTGCTTGGTGTCCCTAACAAATAATTCATTATTATTGCTGTTATGCTCTCTTATGTACAAGACTGGAGAACTTATCTCTGATTTTTGTATGGTCATACTTAAGGTACACAAAAAATTCTAAAAGAAAAAAATGGCAGATTTGTGGAAAATTTTTTGATTCACATAGTGTTTTTGCTTAGCAGACTTTTTGCAACCTAAATAAGGTTGCAATTATTTTTCTTATTCCATCCTATACTGATAATGGTAAATGCACATTTCAAGAATATTTTTAATAGCAAAACCACATAACTGAATATATGTGGATAGAAATAATCGAAAATGCACTACACCATACGAGATATTTGTAAGAAACCTACTTTCCTGTTTCCTCTAACTGTAATACATATGTCATGTGGTGTGCATAAAGACTAAATAACTTCAAGTCGACGTATTATAATAAGTGTGCATATCACTCCCTTCAGCATAATTAATCAGATACTTGGATTCTTCCTTCCTCCAGATACCACGAAATGTCTAATCTGCTATATCACTCTTCATGTACATATGAAGCACAAGAATAAAACTTACTTATTAAGGTGTAGTAGCAGCCCTTTTTACATGTGTATGTAGTAGTCGGTATCTTTTTTATTGTTCGCTGGGTGACTGACCAAAGTTGAGCAACAATAAGAAATGCAAACAATACAACTTGTTGTGATGCCCCCTTGTTCAGTTCCTTTGTTCCATATGTTAGGTTTAGTTGCACTATGGCATTATTTATTTCTTTATATTTATATGTAGTTTGATCTTACACTATGGCAAGAAAAACAAAAATGTGATTTTGTCTTAAAAATTGATTTTTTTTTCTTTAAGTATGAAACAAATAAATGAGTGCTTCAATATGAATTTGCAACAGGAATTTTATTTTCAATAAAACCCAGAAATTTGCACTGGTAGTCTGGTACACAATAATTGTTTACATTTTTTCTTAGTCGAAAGAAGTGCCCTTTAAATAAATTTGCTCCTATGGACCTATCACAAAATTCAACTCATAAACAGCATGGGATTAAGTTAAGTCAATCATCAACAGACTGCAGTGCTATGTGCACCACTAATTAAAAAAATCCCATGTTATATCTTTGAATAAAATTTTAAATTCATTATAAATATCGATTCGGATAAAATATAAAATAACAGAAAAGGGTGATTGTGTATTGTCTGCTCTTTAGAGTTATTCAGAATGTTCAGTAAACACTTCAGTTCTGTATAATATTAAAATTTAGAGTTCATATTTAAAAGAACAGTTTTTAAGTTTTTTAAGTTGGCATTTTAATGTATTGTGCTGAACTAAAATGCCATTTTCCATTCATGGAAAAAGTGTGTGATCTATTTGGGATTTACTTAAAATTTAGGACTAGATATATGAAAATATTTCACGAAATCACTAAAACAGCACAGTAGCTGCTAATTAGCACAGATTAACGTGGACAATGTAGTTCTGAATGTGCTCCATATTTCTGCTAACATTTTTTTTATCACAAAAAGCGTTCTTTTTTTATGCTAAGGTGACAGTGCGAGTATTTAAGACATGTGAACACCTAGAGGAGATGTTTACTTATCACTTCGATCAGACATTTATGTGTGCTGGCTGAAATAATTTAAGTCTAAATTTTCTTAGCAATGGAATGTAGAAACTAAAGTGGGTGGCTGACCCGCGAGCTACTTTAGGCATCATGATCACTAGTGGAGGAACTGTTGACTCCTATTAAAGATTCGGTTTGCTCTCTTTCCCGCTCCCCTTGCAATCTACAAAGTCAAAATTCCATACACAACATACAATCTCAAGTTTGGTAAAAATACCTGTTGAACGAGTTCCTAGGTGAGGTTAATTTAGTCCAACCAATTAAAATCCATCTAGCAAGAGGGTCTCTCGGTGTTGCTCGTTCGCCGTTCGGACTTGGCGAGGATAATATCCCAGCCCAAACTAATGCAGCTACCATTGGAATCGCTCCAATGTACACCCTCAATGGGTAATGAACTTGCCACAGCAATGCATCGGCCAAGAAGGACAACGGAACTGTCAGCGTGAGAGCCAATGTCCCCACTAACGGGCATGTAAGAAGGCATCCCCTGGAATAAAAAAAAATCACAAAATTAAAAGCCTGACACAATTACAAAATGCATTTTTATATTATGTAAAAGTAAAAATTACCAAAGCCACAGCACTTCAGAGAGGACAGTTCCAATAAGTCCATTCAAGAACATCACAGCCCACTGGGGTCGTGTTGGCCACTCGAATTTCTCGAGGCCCAAAGCATGGAAAGCAGCAACAACAGGCCATAGACCAAAGAAGCAAAAGAGGCCAACAAAGCCAAAAAACATGGGAACGTCAAGTGCCTCTTCCGAAGGGACTCTCTTCCTTAGACTGACCAAGTACACAGCATACAAAAATGCACTGAAAAGTGCCAGAGAGGCGCCGAGTGGAAAACTGGGATTCATGCTTGACCAGCATACAGTGCTCTGCAGGGGTGTTGTGATTAATTCAAAACATTAGCTTCCAGTCGGAATAGCTTACTGCGCCTCCTATGCTCATTCCCACTGCGGCAATTTTCGACAAGCTAATCCTGTCCATTGGTTCCGACGGCATGGCTGCTGATAGTAACAGAGTAAAAAGAGGAGCAGCACATGACAGTAAAGAAACTAAGCCTGCTTCTCCAAACTCAAGAGCCGCTTGGTAGCTGTAGTTGGCCATGCACCACTGTGTCAGATTAAAAATAATCAGTTTTTCCACTTTTTGCTTAAACGTTTCATTACCAAAATGCAGAAAGAAAATGCCAACCAAGCAACTTTGCCCACAGGCAATTTACTTGCTGCCCTCCTAGCAATTTGGTCAGCACGGACACTTGCTGAATAGGAAAGTCTGGCCATTAGTGCTGCCGTTGCCTCTTCTTCAGACATCTGTCGAACTTCTGCCAATTTGCTGAAGCGCACTGATCTAACAGACGAATCGTCACTCTCGGTTCCCGAACTCTTCGAAGTACTTCTGCTACTGTCAGGCCTCCTCAGAGGAACATAAGATGGCTCGCTCTATTCAATAGATTTTATTATTTTTTAGTTTGGTTGTTTTTATTTAAATTGATTTAATTTACCAATGCAGTGGGCTGGTCAGCAAAATAATTTGAATCCTCAACATTTGGATCCATCAGCTGAGATTTATAAATTAATAGTTTAAATTTAAATTACAGTGCTCTTCTTAGTCCTTACCACGTATGAACTTGCAGTGCTCCATATGCACATGTCCCGCCAAGGAGAGTAAACCAAGAAACCCAAAAGGTATACACAAAACATGGAAGTTTTGACGTAGGTTGTGAATAGAGGTTTTTGGTAGGATTCTTCCTCATACAGATACTGAAATGCACATCAAAATATATGTCAAAATTAAATACTGTCAAAATTTTGACCCAAACAATTTAATATGATTATACTTTTGTTAGCTCCGACGATGCAACCCAAATTATGTCCACTAGTATCAATAAAACAATTCCCAAAGTGAACTTCTGAGATCTATTCAGTCCTATGTGAAAGTCTTCATTGGAATTTAGCATTGTGCCTGCAAAAAGTTTGGTTTGTTATTCCATATTATGCGTGTTTTAAAATAGAATATTACTGCTTGAACTTGTTTCATCAGTTATAATTGCAGATGACGGCTCTGCTGGCATTACTGAAGCTGAGCACCCACAAGTACCACGCAGACAATAAATAGTAGACAAAACTTTTCTGCGAAGATTTTTTAATGGCCTTTGAGCTTTGAGATTTAACAAGAATCACCAAAGCGGTGGCGGAATGGCAGGCCTCCAACTCTCACACTTGAAACATCTGGGTTATTTTCCGTCGTGTTAAAACTCGTTAAATTCCTATATTGAATTGAAACACTACGATTTCCATCGTCATTTTTGATTGATAAAATTTTAGTTCGGTCACCGATGTGAAAAATTATCACGCAGCCATGTTTATTCTTTGTTGTTTTGTTTTTCCCGTTTTACCGATTATTGACTTGTAAGCGTAACCGGTTAATGAATAGGATAAAATATTTCTCCAAGCAGGAAGTTTAACGTTAATATTTCAGATATCTCGATTTTAAAAGTACTTTTATTCAATTTAAAATCCTGTAAAATTTTACCTTGAGAAATTGATTTTTAGAGAAATAAAAATTTCACTGGATTAAAACCGGTTTTTTTCGTTTGAAAACCTCGCGCAATGTTGCGCATTCATTAAAACATTTTCCGTCATTCTACGAATCCAACATGGTGGAATGTCAACATTAGAGCGTGTTGAACGGCGCATTATTGAGCCTTGGAGTGTTTTCGTCTTGACCTGCCGGACACTTGCAAGCAGTGTTGCTTCGGACAGTCGCCGTATCCCGTTTCCGGTGATGCAAAGCTATTGTCGACTCCGCGTCACAACACAGAACGCGCCACCAAAATAATGAATGGTTCGCTGGAGGGTTCAGCTCAAAAGGGTGCCATCCCGAAGACAAAGGTCGCCACAAATGGGGTGCCCGAGCAAAGCAGCGACAACAACAACTCGACATGCTCTCTGTACAGCGATGAAGAGGACAAAAGGTGTGAAGAGGTGAGACCAAGGCGGTCATCGTCTCCACTCCCATCAACATCATCAGCGCTCGCACGCCCTGTGACCTTGAACTGCACGCAAAGGTTCGTAAGCTAAAATAATGATATTTCAGGATCTTAAAAAAATTGTCTTATTCACAGCTGGGTTTTGGAGGATTTAACTAGTCAGCCAAAGGACGTGGAAAGACCGCCTCCCGAATGTGATACAGACTTAAACGTGCTGCCGAAGCAGTTGTTGCAAGACTTGTGTACCCTCAATGGTGACTGTGATATTTGTGGACGAACTACCAACGGCAAGTACAAATCGTGCCATTTCAATGGTGATGATAGGACTGACGGAGAAGAATCTGACGACGAAGGTGATGACGATGAAGAGGGTGCGGTTGGTGGAGAAGAGCTCCTTTTAGAAGTACGTCAGGTTTCCTTGGTTATATTATAAAGAAGAAAAATCAAACTGAGCCCCTTAAATTTTACTAAAACAAATCAAAAATTTTTTAGGTTCTGCCCATTCGGAGCAGTCCGGATTCAGGAGAAGGCGAATTGGAAACCCACAAGTCTCGGTCACCTTCTTGCTCTTGGGACCAACAGAGTTTATCGTCAGGTGACGAGTGCTTCTACAGGTACAGAGGCGAGGATGACGCGCCCCCACTTGCCGAGCCTTTAGACAACTTGCCACCTAAAGATGAGCAAAGACATCGTTCTTCGTCTCCTGAAATGGACTATCTAGAGATGGACTTTGACCCCAGCTCAGATTGGGGCGGGGACGAGGTTGGTCCAGACGAGGACCAGCAGCAGCCCGAAGAAGTCGCCCAACCTCCACAGAACAGGCAGACACCAGACGTGGCTCCTATTCCTCCTGTGCAAGAGCCTCCTCCGACACCTCCTCTTGCACCAGTCTTAAGAGTTCCAACCAGAGCACCTTGGTAATGAAAAATTTTGAAATAAAAAACATGATTATTTAATAAATTTATTCAATAGTTTGGTGACATGTGGAGAAGTCATGATCTGGTCACAAGGTCGAGCTGCAGAGTTGGTTCAGCCATCGTCAAATCCACTCTATGCAGCAGCCAACACTATTTTTTATGCTCTGAGTGCCCTTGGTTGCGACACAAGTAGAGAAAGCGTTGTCACGTTTCTCAGTGAAGCGTTCCCAATGCAGTCTGTTCCGCAAACTGTCGTAGGGTACCTTCACTACCGAGCGTGCCATTCAACCCTTCACCCTTTTGCCCAGACGTATCCCATTTTTTCTGGCATCGACTTGGCAAGAGCCTTCAGAACCATATCTCTTGGCCGAATAAGAGCCAGATTTTTCCCTGTCCTCTCCAGGGAGCTTCTCACAAGCAGTTTGTGTAAACTGATCACACTCTGGATGAGTAGAGGTGAATTAATTATTATTACTAAGATTGAATTGTTTTTTACCGTGTGCTATTTCAGGCGTCATTCCCATAGTTACATTTTCTCATGCGTCTACCGACCACTCGAGGCATGAAATGATCTTTGGTGCAAACAGTAATGGTATTTTCACCATGGCAGAACCTAACCACCTGCAAACTGAGCAGGCACTCAGGTTGCGTTTGGCAGAACAGGGTACAACAACAGTGTCCCATTCGGACGTTCTGTCCAGATATAGTCGAGACCAGAATCTCCAGTCTCTTCTTCACACCACCTGTTTGCCATGGGTCACGAATAATGTTTTAGGTAATACCCAAATAATAATTTTCGGTTTCTAGTAACTCTGAGTGTGCAATTTCAGGCACTGTTGTTGGAATCTTGAGGGCGAAGTCATTTAGCAACCAGTCTCCTTCGCCTACTTCTCCTGGCAGCAGCCATCATCACCAGCACCCTCCTCTCACCTTTGCTCTGCCACTATTGTGTGTTTCTGGCATCACATTAGTGTACTTGAGCACTAACACTTTCTGCAGCACCATCGAGTCGTTGCTAAGTGTGGGTAATTTGGAATAGACTTGCTACATTTACTTTGCATAATAATGATACCCTACATGTTTCTATCAGTGCCTGATGAGCATGGGAACCATGCCAATAATGATTCCATCATTGTACCAAATTAAGCGCTTTCTACTTAGCAAAGTCATAAAATGAAATTCAGTTCATCTGAATTCTGAGCATTATTATTTCTTTATGAGAACTGCTTGTTAAAATGTTTTAAATTTAGATGAATATTTTTGAACGTGGTGATTTTGTTTAATAGACTAAACAGTGAAATTCCAAGTTGTAATAATTTATAAATAAAAATCAAAGTTATTACTTTTGACCTCATAGAACTCTATGGTGTACTTTATTGTGGACGGATTTGGACGGAATGATTTAGTTTCACAATTACATAAGTTCAGATCTAAGAGATCGTTCAAGCTAAATATTATAGATTGTAAAATATCAAAAATACAGTCATTTACACATTCTTATTTTTAACTTTAAAGAGACATTAATAATAATAAAAAAATGTCTCAAATGGCTGCTTCCTAAATTAAGTTGTCTACCTCAGCAAAGTGTAAAAAGCTGCAAATACAGCTGAGAGAATTATTACTGCCAACTGAGGCTTAACGTGGACTGAGCCGTTACATCCGTCCCCTGAGCAGTAGCATTCCTCCCAGTAGACACCATTCTCGTAAACTCCCCAATTGCAGACCCCTGTAACACCAGTGTCGGACACGGAGGCGCAACGCCTGATCACTTGACGCCACCTTCCGTCCCCTAAAATTAAAAATAATTAACAAATTGATGCAACAATAATATGGTTAAAATACAGATGAATCCAATGGGTCCCTGTTGAGTGATTTTCATGCAGAAAGTGCCAGGAGTGTGAGATTCGTCGCTGATGCAGTCCACAGCAATATGATTTTCAGGGTCGAAATTTTCGTATGCCCCACAGTTGTCTTCGCCCTTAGGATCCTGAGCAGATGAGCACTGATAGCATCTGATGGCATTTGCTAAATGAAGTTAAATATTATTAATTAATCATGGTTTAAAATTCTCCCAAATATTTTTTTACCAAAAGCGATAGTTGCCAAGAAAATGCAAAGGTGCGCCAAACTTCTAGCCATATTATTTTTTTTACCACAAAGAAAGAAACACAATAAGAAAATTTTAGAAAAGAGTGAAACCCTTGAGTGAAACGTTGGACCACGCCTAAAAAAATTGACGATTCTGTTTTCTGTTTACAGTATCAATAACTTCGGAAACCTAACAACAGGTGCCGCTTCTTCACTTTCCCCACTCCTTGATTTTTTTTTTCTTTTCAGGGTTGCATTCAGGATTCAGGAGCTTTCAGGAAACCACAAACTACAATGCAAGGTACAATGCAGAGGCGTGGAGGAACTGTTCGTTTATTCTCTTAATTCCATTGGCTGCTCATTCTTGACATGCGCATTGGAGCCACATATGGGTGAATTTTCGAAGTAAGTCAACTTGCGCAAGCCGTCACCACGATTGAAATCACAGAGAAGAAATTCACGTCGAATTTCAGGCGAATTTCCAACGAAAACTTCCAACTTATAATGTCATACGCGTACTTGTTCAAGTACATCATTATCGGGGACACAGGTGAGTGGTATTCAGTAGCTTAGAGATCAGGGCCGTGCCCTGAAACGAGTTAAATGCCAAGTGCGTCCAATTATTGATTATGCCACTGGCTGTTGTCATCGGCCATATGATAAAAAGTAGTCATGTTCCTATGACTGTACGTTCAACTAATTGCGAGCTTAATTTTTCCGTTGCTTTTTCAGGCGTGGGAAAGTCTTGTCTCCTTCTACAGTTCACAGACAAACGCTTCCAGCCCGTTCATGATCTCACGATCGGTGAGTTAAGTTTTTCGGTTCAAATAATAAAGTCTCAATGCTCTCTTGTTATCTATTTACGTAGGCGTCGAGTTTGGTGCCCGTATGATCACCATTGACGGAAAACAGATCAAGCTACAAATATGGGACACAGTAAGTGTTATTTTTAAGATCAACTCTAGCATATTAAAGGTCAATGTTTAAATGAAATAATTTTTCCAGGCCGGCCAAGAGGCATTCCGCTCAATTACTCGGTCTTACTACAGAGGAGCAGCTGGAGCTTTGCTCGTTTATGATATAACACGTCGAGACACGTTCAACCACTTAACCACCTGGCTGGAAGACGCTCGTCAACATTCCAACTCTAACATGGTCATTATGCTGATTGGAAACAAAAGGTTTATTTCCAGATATTTGTCTTTTCTGTAAAACTAACTTGAAATAACAGTGATCTGGAAGGCCGCAGAGAAGTTAAGAGAGAAGAAGGCGAAGCCTTTGCCAGAGAGCATGGCCTAATTTTCATGGAAACTTCTGCCAAAACTGCTGCTAATGTGGAGGAAGCCTTTATTAACACCGCGAAGGAAGTTTACGAAAAAATCCAGGAAGGAGTGTTCGACATTAACAATGAGGTAATTTTCTTTTGTAAACTCTTGAAAACATGATTTTTTAACAAATTCATCATTTTAGGCAAACGGCATTAAAATTGGACCACAGCATTCTCCCACAAACCCCTCGTTACCCTCCGGCGGACAGGGTGGCATGCAAGGTGGTGGCTGTTGCTAAGAGCACCTCCTCCACCTGAGACTGGCGATAATTTAAGTTTCCTCTCCACCTACCTAACTTTTCTATGACATGATAATGATTTGTGCAGTTCTCAAGATAGGGCAGGCTGGTTTGTTGCTTGGCACACGTTTCGTATCCATCACAAGTCCCCAGTAATCAATCAAACTAAATTATAATTACTCGTCTTCACTGAAATTTCTGTCTAAAACTTTAATAATAAGTCAGTTTTGTGCTCTCACAAATTTTACTTGGTAATCAGGTCATTTCATTTGGAAACTAAATTTTGTGTTAATAATTCTGTCTCTTGGTATCTTTAACTTGTGGTTATAAGCTTGATTATTGAAAATGTGCATATTAACGACAACGTTGAGATAGGCGCAGTCACACTTATATAATCATGTATGTGTAACTATTTATCAATGCACCTCTTCCTTCTTGTCGGAAACAACGCATATTTAAAACGTCTTAATTTTTAACACATTTGTAAATCCATTTAAGTCAAGCTGATTACCTTGGATAAAAATTTGTCTAAAGACTCCTTTTGTTCTAAAACACCTTCCGCTGTGTGAAACGGCTGGATGAGGATCAATTTTGTAAAGAAATCCTGTCACTTGCTAATTAATTAGTAATTTATTCGATCAAGTTTTGAAATTTCCGAGGGCAGGGTTTCAATGATATATAAGGCTGGTGTTAACTAATCTAATATCCCATATAGAGTGGTTTTGTTCCTGAATGATTGCTTGCTGTAGCTGAGACGGGTTTGAAATTATCACAAAGCGCTAAAACGCTTTGTCTAATTTAAAAACCTAGTTATTTGTTGTATAGAGCTTGAAACGATTACAAACCTTTGTTGCGTATGCGTATATCCGGTGCCGTTTTCAAGGCTTGTAAAATTTTGATTAGATTGTTTAATCCACCCTCCGTAGTGACAAAATGAGTCTATAGGCATTTTTTAACTTGTGCCTAGTCTTAGCTTCTCAATGATAATTCATAGAGAAATCTTATCGATTGGTTTTATTTAATTCAGTTTACATTATGATTTGTTTTATATTTTAATATCTCATAGCACCAAAAATGTCTTCACCTCTTGAAGTCATTCCCCCATCTGAAATGATTGTAGTACTCTCTGTCGTAAAATGGTCTCTATAATTTCCCTATTGGCATAATTCTCATTTTTTTTCTTTTGACATGTTAAAACGTGAAATGTGTCTTTTCATTATTACCATTAATCATAAAACTAGTTAATCATTCAAATTGAAAATTATTATATTTTTCTGTGTTATTAGCTTTTTGAATATGATATGATCATTAAATCAGTTTAAGCACTGTACCTCAATGTATGCAAATATTAATTTCATTTACCCTACTATATCCTCAATCCTCGGTTATAATTAAAAGAGTTATTATCAGTAAAATGCAATATACATAGATTTTTTTAATTTTTTTATGCTTGAAAATTTTTAAATGCAATTTTGTCACTTTGATTTTTCTGCTACAGGAGTGAAATAAAAAATAATACAATCAAATTATTGTAAATTATAGCATTGTCATTTGTTAATTATATTATATCAATGATAATGATGATAATTATTTTTACACCGATTTTTACTACGTTTTATTATTTGCTATTCAAATTTTGGCTCGCCATCTGGCAATCTATTTTTTTTTTTCATTACATACCCACTTCATTCTTAATTTTTGACACATTTACAAATATCTTCTTTCCTCCGTGCAACAGTATAATTATTATGCAAAATTATTAAGAGGAAAGCAATGAGAAAAGACTTCAAAATTTTCCAAATCCAAATCGATCGGAATGTGCGACAGCAGCGCCGTAGGTGAGCAAAATAATAATTTTAATAATAACACGACACGACATGAAGTCCGAAAACATCGAATAAGAAAAATGCAAGACGCGATGGTTCTCAGCATATTTTTGGCATTTCAAAGCATTTATAAACTTTCTGGAGCTCGATAAACTGGTGAGAAATTTGCACTCTTTAGTAATCCTACTGAAAAACTAGAACGAAGTACAAGGAACGCCTAAATTTTTTAACATTGCTTCAAACAATCTCTGGTTTGGCTGTGTGTCGTTATCCGCTTAAAACTTTTATTTCGCTTTAATTGTAATAAACAGAAATAACAAAACCTTTAATGACTTGAGTTTGTAAAAATTTTAAACTTTTACGTCCGGCCGTACCAGATTATGTATGCATCTGGTTATAATCTGCGGTATATGTATGTATTTTTGCGTTGCCTTAATGCAAAAATTTCAATTCACGCATTTTGTTCCAGAAAATTAATTTTTATTTTTCACCAACAGCTTTGCCGAAGAATTATGTCTGTGTCTGGAGACAGCACTAGCAGCAGCAGCAGCAGCAGCAACAGTGAAGACAAAACTGATGAGTCGACAGGTTTCCGATCTCTCATGGTGCAGCACAACAGCCGTTTCCACCCCAACCACGGCGCAAACGTGAATCTCATCGAGGATGGAGTGGTCGCCAGAAGAGACAGCAGCTTTGCCAACGGCCTCACCTTCAGCGCTACACCTATCCTGCCTGGAGAATTGTTTCTTGTTGAAATCGAACGCAACGAACGGGGCTGGAGTGGTTTTCTCAGGCTCGGACTGACTCAACTCAATCCCGATGGTTTGATTTTTACTGATTTTTTTCTTTCTAAATTTCCTTACAAGAGATTTGTGATTTTCAGGGTTGCATCCCCTTCCCCAGTATGCCCTTCCAGATCTGACAAACATGGGGCAAACTTGGGTCTACGGGATCACCAAGTATCGAAATTATGTTTACGAAGGGGAAGATGCTCACGCTGAGAACTGGGAAAACGAAAATGACAGACAACCGAACAGCCAGTCATCAGTGTTAGGTGAATTATTATAAATAACTTAATGTATTCCTCTCTATGTAATATTTAAATGCAGGAGTTCGAGGCGACACCGTTTTTACAGCAAAAGGACCTGTGAAAATGAGTATGTTGTTGCCGTCTCCCGTGATGTCCCGAGGCCCCTGTCCAACCGACGAGGGTTCTAGGGTTGGTCTAATTTATGTTCCTCGCACCCCTGAACTCGCTGACATGCACTTTATAATCAACGGTGAAGATCAGGGACCGTGCTGTAGGGAAATTCCCTATGGTGCCGGCCCTCTTTATGCTGTGGTAGATATTTACGGATCGACAAAGCAGGTTCGCCTGCTCCAACTCTATCAGGGAGGTCAGTATCGCCCATTCTTGTTTCCGCTCTGTAATTTAAAACTCCCATCTGCTCAATTGCAGTGCCAAGTTTACTGAATATCTGCCGAGAAGTGATATTGCAAACGATTTCAAACGTTTCCGTCAATCGATTGCCAATACCAGCTGCCCTTAAGGATTTTCTCCGCTATAGGATATGAAATGACACGACCGCACTCCTTTTAAATACTGGATTCAATTTATGCATTTATTTTTTTTACTTTTAAAGTAGTAGTTACAAACCACTTTCCTGTAAATGTCCCTAATTTTTATACAATGAAATGTTAGCCTCAATTATTTTCAATGGTTTAAAATCATGCTTCTGCATCATATTTAAGCGTACAGAACTTGACAAGATGTATACATTAAAATAATGATATTCGTAAGTAATTAATATATAAATGTGTAATAAAACTCTGTTACTATGAGTTATAATTATATTTTGTTTTTATTTGCTATATAAAAAAGAAATCAGTTACACGTCAGTAGGCTATCCTTGTTTACTTAAAACATTCACTTTACTTTGGACGGATAATTAAAAGACTGCATCGCAGCCAAAACCTAAAAAAATGATCACTTTGTGCATTTAACTTTCTTGTACGCACAGACCAAGACTCGTTTTTCTTGTGGAAAAATTAACATATTTAGGTTATGCTTTAATAACTTTTTACTAATCCTACACGGGTTTACAAAACTTTTAAGCCCTTATTTTGTGAGACTAGCAAGATTGATGATATGTTCCATACCTTAAAATATCAAATTATAAAATGTTAGTAAGTACAATGTTTAACTTTCAATGAGACAAAACCGTCTGGACATCTGTTAAAGATTCTTGCAAAGCAAGAATTGATGCAGACTTTTTAAAAGTACAAATAGTTTTGGTTACTTATCCAAGTCTCATTGCGTTAAAAAATATTGCATTAATGCTCTCAATAGAAATTGTTATCAAAAATCATAGCAATGATAAATGGAAAAAACTAAAAAGTTTCATCATGTGTTAACTTAGAGTTTGGTCTTGAATCACAAGACCAAACCCAGCTGTTGATCACTGGTGCACTTCCTTGAGGGTGCATCACAACAACAATTAACTATAGGATAAGATTCTAATAGAGATTCGAACAGCAACAGTGATTAATATTATTTACTGCTTGTGAGGGGTTGTCGAGCGACCTCGACCTAGGTCGGGAACCAAACTGGTGGCTGAATCCAGTTTCCGCGCCTCGTGCTCCAGGAGCATGGAATCCAAGCCAGGGTCATGGGCCACTGTGTGAAGGGAATCGCCTAGGGCTTGCCGCAGCTGCTGCATTTCTCGGCCAGCCCTCGAGCTACGCAAAATGTAAAGTTGCCTTCGTTTCACCTCTTGGCTTAGCTGTTCACGCAGGAGCTGGATCTGGAAGAAGCAGCAATGGATAAATAGCACAGATAAGATTTCAAGCAATTACCTGATTTTCAAGCTTCATAACTTGCTGCCTGTGAGATTGTTCTCGGTTATCGAGCATTCGTTCCGCTTGTTGTTGGGAACTTCGGAGCCTCTCAACCTCTGCTGTTTGGTCAAGCATAGACGTCTGATGCGATCTGCTTCTTGAATAATCAGCACCCTTATCAGCCAGCTGGTTCTCTAGATGGCGAATCTTCATTTTCAACTCCCGAATTTCGTGCTCGTGTTCAAGGTCTGTCGAATCGCCCTTGTCTGCAGAGCCATCAAATGTTCTTGACATTGATTTTGACCTGTCCAAATTTCTTTCCAGCTGCCGAACCTTTTGATTTTTTTTTTTTAATTTTCATTTTATTATTTAAAATTTTTAAAGTGAGACTCGCCTTATCAGAAAGGGCATCAGCCTTTGCTTTGTACTCCAACTTTTCCCTCTGAGCTGTTTGTAACTGCCTGAGTGCCTCTTCGTCTCGTTCCGTGGCTTCTTTGTTATTTGGCCAGGATGAGAGTCGAAGCTGTGTTTCTAAACTGGAGCGTTTCAATTCGCTGTTCGAAAGCTCGGACTGCAATCTCTGAATCTGCTCTGTCAATTGAGACTGAGCTCGTCGCAAATCAGTCGCAGAACTTTGTGCTGACTCAAGTTTTTCGACCAATACTCTTTTTTCGTTTTCACTAGTTTGCAAACTTTTCTGAATCTGCGTTACACAAAAGAATTTTCAAAAGGACTTTTTGCAAAAATTTTGTTCACTTGCCTGTTTTAATTTTTCACCAGCGTTTTGAGATGAGCTGCTTGTGTCCATCAATGTTCTCTGGAGATCTTTGATTTCCGTTCTCAGATCTCTATCTGATGTAGCTGCTTGCTCAAGGGACAAATTTAGCTGGTCGATTGTGGTTTTAAGAGAGGCGCATCTCTCCTCCAGACTGGCGATTGTTCTTGTTTGAGCCTCTGCCTTGTCTTGCAATTTCTAAAGAAGGAGATCCAAATTAAAATTTTAGTCTTTATTTATTTTATTTTTCAAACCTGGCAGTGAGAATCTTTTTCCTGAATCATCATTTGCAATCTTTGCAGGTCTCCCTCCATGGACATTCTTTGAAGCTCAAGCTTAGTGCCCCGAGATTCACTCCTAGCCAACTCTTCTTGCAGGCTGCGCTTTTCTTGGTCCAGACGGTTTATTGCTTGACGGAGGCGATCAATTTTTTCCTAAATTAATTATTTTTGATGAAAAAGTTTTACAACTATTTTAACTGTAATTCACCTCTGACTGAGCCTTTTCATCATGCCCACTTTGCAGGTTCAGCTCAAGCGCAGTCACCCTTTCCCGCATAGTCAAAATTTCCTCTGACTTTTGCTGAAGAGCATCAGCCTGAAACAAATATTGTATTATAGCTTTGTTTGAGGAAGAAAATTTGCAATATGGCACACCTGCGCTGAAATAGAGACATCTTTTTGTCCAAGCTTGGAAACAAGTTTGCTCTTTTCATCCTGCAGGCTTCTGATAGTTTGCATTGCGCTAGTCAATCTCGAATCTCCTTTTCCCTGAGCGTCTAAAGCCTCCTTCAACTGCTTTTGAGTGGCGCAAGCTTGATTCTTGAAGTCATCCTAAAATTTTAATAATAAAATGCTTACAAATTAAATTTGGTAAATTTTTCAAACAAACCCTATCTCTTTCGATCTGAGCAACTTGTTGCATCAGAGATCGTACTCCTTTACGCACGACTTCTGGGTCAACGTCAATCATTTCAGCCGCTCCTTTCTCTTCTGCTTCTTTCCTGTGATATCTTGCGGGACTCCATCTCCTTGATGGACTCGACAGTCTGTAAGGCAGAGTCACACTGCCGTCAAGCTGAATGCCCGCAATTCTTCTAAGGGTGGAGCCAACGCTGCTTAATCGTTGTTCCGTCTCCTTCTTTGCAGCCTCTAGGTTGCTTAGTTGTCCGTCTAAAGCTTTAACCCTGCCTTCTGCACCTCCAAGTTTGGCCTGCCAAAAGTTAAAATAATAAGCCTATGAATTTTTTAAATTATAATTTACTTGCTTTGAGCTCCTGGATTTGTTGGTTTGAATCGGCAAGACAAACTTCGATATTGTGTTTTTGGTCTTCCAGTTTCCTTTCGCGCACACGACCATCTTCGATCCTCACCAACAGAGCTTGTTCACTGCCTCGCCACCTCTCCTCTTCTTCTGCTGCTCTTGAGCGGATTCTGGACAGCTCTTGTCTGCTCATTTCCAAACCATTGCCTAGCTCCGACATCTAAGATTGCTTAAAATGAGCCAAGAAGTACAATTTTAATATCCAAAGATACCTGTTTTCTGAGCTGATGCATCTCTTGCTGTGCTCGTTCTTTTTCGTCGGTCTCATTTGTAAGCCTTGAAGAAAGCTCACTGTGCACTTGAGTGAGTTGTGAATAAGCTGCTTCCAACTTTTGCTTTTCTTCCTTCATTGCCGACAGTTGCTGACCAGTTATAAGAGCAGCATTTTCAACGTCACGCAATTGAAGTTGAAGCCGTGTTCGCTCAGTGTCTAAGCCTGTCTTTGCATCCTCTAGAACTGTAAAATAAATTTTATGAATTAGCAAGTTGAGGAAACGATTTTTATTTACGGTAAAAACTCACTGCTTATCTTTTGGAATGCATCTTCAAGAGCTCGAGCTTGCTCTCTCTTTTCTCCTTCTGTTCTCCTCACTTGCTCTCGCAAATCCTTGTTTGTAAGGCCATATTTATCTTTTTCGCAGTTACTCTCTGCAAGTTGCCGTCTAGTGTCATTAAGATCTTTTTTTAACGTGTCGCTCAAATTTTCCACTGCAATGCAAAATTTGTTTTAAATTTATTTTAAGAAGTACGACTCTTTACATTCTTTCAATTTGAAGTTGGTTTCATGCAGCTCAGTTTGCAAATTCTCTGATCTATCTTCAATCAAATGCAGCTGAACTTTAAGCTCGTCACAATCATGCTGAACCGAGTCTCTTTCTTTCCTCGTCTCAGCAATGCGCGCCTCCATATGGTTCTTTTCGTCTTCTGTTCTTTGCCTACAGTAAAACCATTGTTAAAAACTGAAGTAAATGCAATTTAAAAATATTACTTGAGGTCTTCCAGCTTTGCTTTGATTTTAGAAAGCTCATCTCTTAGTTGATTCATTACACCCCTGTCTTGCTCAGCCCTTGAAGCTGCCTCTCGCTTGACCCTTTCCAGCATTGCTGCCTCCTCGTCAAAATCTTTCTTCATCTGGACCAGTCTATCCTGTAGAGCTTGAATGTCATGATGGGCTGAACACAGAAATTTTTAGGTTAAGATGCGTCCGTCAGCCAAAATTAAGAAGACTTGCCAAGTAAAAGAGCTTGCTGTTTGTCATTTTCAGCTCTGAGTAGATTTTCTTCGTGTTGCTGAATCAAAGCTTCCATGTGAGCCTGCAGTTCGTCAATTCTATTCATGAGTTGTCCTGTCTCATGCTCCTTCTCATTCTCCAATTGTTGAATAGCTTGCTGCATCCGTTTTTCCAAATTTGCCCTTACTTGCTCCTATAAAAAAAAACTTGATTTTGCGTACTAAAAAAATAATAACAACATACACGCTCCTCTGCCAGCTTCCTTGTTGTTTCGTCACTCTGTTTTTTCAACGAGGCAAGGGTTTCTTTATATTCGGCGTCTTTGTTGCCCATTTGCTGCAGCAAGTTGGATTTTGTTTCCCTCAAATTCTTCTGGGTATTTTCTAGCTCTGATTGAAGTCGTGCCACTTGGCCTTTGAGGCTTTCTTGAGTTACAAGAAGTGCTTGCAGCTCTTTCTCCAGAGTAACAACTCTGACTTCTGAAGCCTCAAGGCTACTTTGAGTGTCAAAAAGAACAGCCTCCAATGCCTCCTTTTCACTTCTAAGCGCAGCGTGCTGTTCGTGCAACCTTTGCAACTCTTTTTCTGTTGCTTCAAGCATCACCTAAATTTTATAATCTATTTTCATTTTTGTAACAAAAATTATTCCTCAAACCTGTGTTTCTTCTTTATCTTTGACCAAAATATTCATTTCCCTATTCAGCCTGGCATTTGTTTCAATAGCCTGCTCCAATCGTTGTTTAATTCTTTGAACTTCTTCGTTCAACTCTTCCTTTTGACGAGCAAGGATTGGAATCTGCTTTGTCAGCTCCGTGCGCTCTCGGGAAACTTGTGTCAACTCGATATGGATCTGGTTAAGAAAAATATAACATTATTTGAGCACATTTTAAGTATGATAGCAAGGGCGATATTATACCTTCTCCCTGTCCATGTCGCCATACTTGATTTTTTCAAGAAGGGATATCTTTTCCGACTCCAAATCTAGACGATTCTGTTCTGCCTGAAGAAGTTCCTTGCGTAGAGCTTCAATGTCATTTTGATGATCAGAACATTGATTCTTTAGGTTATTATTTTCATCCAAAAGCTAAAAGAAGAAATCAATTTAATGTAGATTAAAGCAGAATTAGAATAAATACTTACCCTCTTAATATCATCTTGTTGTCGAGCTTTATCTTGGACGTGGCTCTTGTTTATATTATCCAACTTGACCAGGGTCTCATGAGCATCAGATCTTTCAAGGAGTGCTTGCTCCAGCTCCATTTCAAGAGCACCTAAAATAGTTGGTTTTTAGCTTAATTATACAATAACTTAAAATGAGTGATTACTTTTGCTTTTTTCAAGTAGAGAAATGTCACTCTCCGAGTCCATTTTTTGCTGCTCCAACACATCTTTAGCAAGATAAAGCTTGTTGAGCTCTTCCCTGGTGTTAATTAGGTCCTCTCTGAGTCTGCCACAACGCTCTACTTCAGCTTTCAAATTAGACTCTCTGATTTCAGAATCTCGATTCATGCGCTCGATGTCATCTCGCATGATCATTTTATCGTTTTCAAGTCTCTCGGCCCACTTTTGAAGCTTTGCATTAGATTTTTGTGCTTTTTCAAAATCAGAGCTCAAGCTGTCCATCTAAAATTGTGCTTTAAAATTAAATTTGAATTAAAAAAAAATATATATAATTACCTTCCCCTTTAACTCAATCAGATTCCTTTCTAGCTTATTCTTGTCGGCTCGAAGGTTTTCCAATGTCTTTTGCAGGGAATCTTTTTCCTGAGTTAGTTGATTAGCTAAAGCTTTAGTGCTGTCTAGCTGAGACGTAAGATCAACAACATGATTCTCCAAGGCTTGACCGTTCTCATCGGATGCTTCACACTGACGACGGAACAACATAAGTTGATCCTGTGTTGTCTTCAGCTTATTCTAATTTTTTTTTTCAATTTAATTTCATCATATGAAATAAAGAAAAAGTTAAAGATTTACATGCAACTCATGAGCTTGGAGCTGATGTTTGTGAAGAGCAGCTTGAACAGCTGAAATGGTACTCTCAGCAAAAGCTGGCGATGTTGGTGTCCGCATAAGGTTACTTTTGGGTGTGCTAGACCCCATGAAATAAAATTAAGTGAACCAAAATATTTCGATATAATCTCACCGTGGTGGCATCATTGGTGTTGCAGAGAGATGCAGATGACTAGCTGGTTGGACATTTGCGTCTGCGTTTTTATTTTCGGCATCTTGCAGAACGGCATGAGCGATGTCACGGAGCGCATTTTGCAGAAGGGCAAGTTCTTCTTGTGCTCTCTGCACTAGAGAAGCTCCTTGCTCAGCATTATCGCACTTGTCCTCCTGTGGAATTTTTAAAATACACTCTCTGCTTCAAAATACTTTGCGGTTCCTTACCAAGATCTTCATATCGTGAAGTAATGCTTGGATTTGCTCATCTTTGCTTTTAATATCTGCTTGAGCAGCGTCAAACATGGATTGCAGCTTAATTATTTCAGCACGCAAGTGAGAAAGCTCTTGCTCTTGCTGGCGCTGTGATTTTTCCTGAAAAAATTGTACATTTATTTAATTCACAGAAACGAATTAAATAAGCACAGCTCCCTTACGTCCGAACGATTAGATCTGTCATAGAAATTTGCCAAATTTTGGCACGCAGAGTTCATTTCATGAGTGGAATTTGTCAGCTCAGAGCGCAACTTGGCCAGATCCTGTTCTGTTGTGGCTCTAACATCAACAAAAGCCCTTTTCATGGAAATTACATCACGCCATAAATTCAGAAGTCTCCCGTGTTCAGCAGAATAATAATCGTTGAAGCTCTGAAATTTTAAATTTGAATAGTTAAATATGCTATTCTCCAGCTTTTGATAATACCTGTTCTTCTTCTTTCCACTCATCCTCTTTGACGAGAAGTTCATCCCTCAAATTTTCCCAATCAGTTGTGAGTTTCTGCAAATCGGAAGTCAGCGTGTCATTTGATATGTAGCTCTCTTCCAGCTGTTCTCTCAAGCGCAGATTTCTAATTAATAAGACCAATCTCAACAAGTCAATAAAATAGGATTTTTTTTACTTTCGCTTCTCTTCATCCAGGCGGCGTATTGCTGAATCAAGATCTGGAATTCTTTCATCCCTGACGTCCCCAGAGCTAGCTGATAAATACTGTTGGGACAAATCTAAAGACTTCGGACCGGAATAACTTCTTGAAGCAAGGGACGGCTCAGCAGCTCCATCAAGAGCTTGGTTCTCCAGCTCTGAGCACTTTTGTTTATATTGTAGGACCTGGATTTACGTTTACAATATTATTTTGATAAATGAAAAAAAAATATATATCAATTTTTGCCTTTGATTGGAGTCGGCTGACGAGGGCAGCTTGGTGTTGCTGCGCTTGTTTGTATGTGTCGAGACGACGACGGTAGTTAGAAGATTCCTCATCAAGTCGCCTCTTAAGACTCTGATTTTCCCGCTGCAGGGTGTCCACCCCGCCGTCCGTGCCTTCAGGGTCGCCGCCGCCTCTTGGAGGCTGTCGTATCCCACCCTGCACCCAAATGCAGGCGTTAAAATCACCAAGCCAAATTATTCTGAACCAAAAATTCACCTTTGACACAGGTCTTGTAGGGTAAGAACCACCTGGTCTGCGTTGATCCATTGGCGGTCGATACTGTGAGGTCAAATCATGAGGCTCCCGAATCGAAACTTGCTGCAAACAGAATTTTTAGAAGTTTAGAATTTAATGGTCATTTTTCATATATAAAAGTGACGGTTCCTTTGAAAATTTGTGGGAAAATGTAGAGTGTTTTTAATGAGAAAGTCCCCCTCTCAAAGTTTCCAAAGTTTCATTCCCTTATCCACGCGAGGTCACGAAATTTGGTAACAAAATGTTTAAGAGTGACGGTTCTGCAGTGGCTTTAAACTCTCAGAATGACGAAAGTTTTGGCAGTGTAATATAAGTTTGTGAAACGAAAGTTTTAAGACTTGCCGGAGAAAGATTTTAAGGGAAAATTGCTTTAGTAAAAGAGCCAAACTTGTTGGAGATCGTTGGCGAAAATAATCTAATCATCAATTTGCGCAATTGAAAAATAAATTGCAAACCGCTGATTTGCTCTCGGGTTTCGGTGATAACGAAACTATTTTGCTTTTTTGGAGCCTCGCCCAGACTGGCACAATCAATAGAAATGCTGAGCAAAATCACTCTCAGCGTTTACTCAGCAGCGGCAAACACGCACAAATACTCCACACACCAGATGCAACCCCGGCCCGACCTGGAGCCGGCGTTTCCCATCCCCTAACTTTATCAGGCAATTTCATCTAAACGATTATGGCCCTCAGCAAGCCCTGGTGCGGAGGCAGACGTGGTGCCGCCCGCCGTCCCGCAGAATGTCGGGCCATAAATTTCAAAAATTCAGCAGGACGGTTTGTGTGTGCGAGCTGTAAAAATATGAAAAATAGTGTGCGCGCGGAAGAGCACGCAATTCGCAGGATGGGCTTTTGACATGCATATTGAATGTTTGAAACTTAGTCATTGCGTTTCTCGTTTCCTCTTTTCATGTAATAAAATTCCAGCAGACCTTTTTATGCAAGAATTTCCATAAGTCTTTTTGACGTAATGAAACTCTTGTGAATTTCATTCGTCACTTTCCAAACACATTCCACAAATAACACGTCAGTCCTTGCAATGGTAATTTTTAGTTTTTTAAAGGCATAAATAATAAAGCCTGTGGCGAGTAAAGAGCTAAAACTTTGCACGAAAGAATTACTGCTTGACTTTTTGAGTGGCACGACTATACCTTCTTGGGCACGACTTTTTTCCTGAACACTTCCATTGTTATAGTTTGTCAGTTTTTACACGCTTGAAATATTAATAACAAAAATGTCACTCATTAGTTTAATTTTTTCTAATCAATTTCAAACAAAAAGTTTTTCAACAACGGCTCTGAATAATTAAAAATAAATAATCAAATTAGCAATCAAATCATTTGTAAAAAAACTGACAAATTTAGAATTTCACGATCGAGGGTTGAATCGGCTTTTCCTCAATAATTTTTGTGAGTTGTTTATTGTTTAAGAATTGTTTTTTCTTAAAAAATAAACAAACCACAAAACGCATCAAGAAAAACCCGATTTTAAATTCAAATCGCCATAAAAAAAACCCATTATAGTTATTACTTTACAAAAAAAAGTAAAGCTCTTATTCTGGATCAATTTGAATTCTGAAAATAAAAAACCAATTATGTTATGATTGACTGCAGTGCAGCTAGAAAAAATATAATAAACTTGTGAAACTAAAAATGAATGATGAACGCTAGATTTTGATTTCCTCACCCTGGCCATGTCCGAGGGCTGGTCAGCGGGGTGGACAAGTGAATGTGTTTGCGCGTCGAAGATTGGGTTGTGCCCAGCTCGGGGCTCAGCCTGCTTGTGCAGCAGCCACAGCAGATTCGCCTCAGAACGGGGCGGTTCGCACAAGGGTGCACGCGACCGTGGGGCCACCCCTGCAAGTAAAACGGACCACTCGCCATGGCAACCCATTTTTGTCAATCCCTTTGTTTTTCAATTTATGGCGCTGCTGACTTTTCCAGCAGTGCCAGCAACAACAAAATTATTATTTTACAACGTCTGCGAACGAAAACTTCCTTGTTTTTGCGATGAAAAGTTTCTTTGGTGAAATAAAAGACCCACGGAGCATGAAATGCTATAAAACCGCGATGCAAAAAGTTTCCTTGCAAAACACCAACACTCGTTATCACTCAAAATCTCCTCACCGACTGCCGCTCTGAACGGTTTCAGACCCAAACTTTGCCTATATTTTGAATAGGTGCCAGTTTGCTTGATAGTACAGGAATTTCATTCACAATCACAACAATGCCCCGGAACACAATGGGCATTGTGTAGTAATTCCATAAGGGCGCGTGCCAACCACGTCTGGTAATACACGCCGATCGGTTTATTTGGTGCTCATTGGAATTCTATGAATCTGCTCCTATTTCTACGGCGTATATTGAAACAAGATTGTTTTAGTCAAATAATAAAACTGGGAAAATATAATAACCTTTACACTGAAAAATAAAAAATAATTTAAATAATTTTTAATAAGTTAAAAAAATGTGATAACTTAATTCGAGCAGAAAAATATTCTTAATAAAAAATCTGTGCTAAAAAATTTTTTTTGAAAAATTTCCTGGCAAAAATTTGTATTAAACAACAGCATGAAATTCGGCTTTATAATAACAAAATTATCATAAAATAGTGTAAATCAGGAAAATACTCTTTGTGTGTAAGTTAAATTAAATCTGCACCTTTCATACACTTTAAATGAGATTGGTCTGGTTATTTGCAACTCCAATTGAAAATGTCGAGCTCCTGCAAAGAATGAGTATGCAGCACGCATGACAAAAACGTCTAGCAAAAAGCCTATCTATAACTTTTCATATATCTACAATTATTTCATATGACAAAAGAATTTTTGATAATTTGCCCGACAAAAAAATTTAAACAAAAAGTATCTAGAATATGATGCAAGCGTCTTGCCATTTATAGTTGTTACGTTTGTTACAAATGAAATGGATCGACAATGCTGCACGAAAAGTCTTGACAATAATTTCCCACTCACACAGATTGGCGGACTTTCGTGTCATACTTAGCTGCAAATTGCTTTAGAGAAGGCAAAAAGCGGGTGTACCGAGAGTATGCCGAGCATGCATGTTTTTACAAGCTTTTGAGCAGCCGAGTTTTGTTGTCGGATCTAATTTAAAGCATCACGCACTCCTGTAAGTTATTTTTCTGTCTTTCGTTCTGTGTTTTATATAATATCACTGATGGATTAAGCTTTTTTTATTATTACTCGCAGCAATGCATGTCTCGAGAGATCTCGCGGTGCCAGCTACGTGCCGGAAGAAACTCGGGTTGCCTCCGACCAAAAATTAGCCCGTCTGCGTCTATTGACAAACTATGGTACCCTGCCCGTCGCCTAACGACAGCAAGCGTTGTTTACATTTTATTTTATGTTTTATGGAATTATTGAAGAAGAAGAAGAAGACAAAAATAAACAAATATTTCATTAATGAAATAGGGTTGCATGTCTCGAATTTAGAATTAATTAAAAAAGAATTACAGATTACGGATGCAAATCACGGTGCCAAATTGTTTTTAATAGTATTTCTAGGAGGTGAACAACCCAATTAATTCTTATTATTAATATTAAATAAAGTTTATTTAAAATTAATGTAAATAAATAAATTTACACTTGAATGATATAAATAAAAATAATTTTACTCTCGAATGATGTAATAAATAATTTTACACTCGGCTGATGACAATTAATTGAAGGTTAACGCTTGAGAACGATTTCATGACAAAATTCAAACTGCGCTTGGCCTCGTTAAAAAATTAAAAAAAAGTAATTTGACAAAAAAAAGTTCTTTGTTACTTAATTTTTTTCTGAACAAAAAATAGCTTGGATTCATCTCAAGCACTCTGTAATATTCCCTAAAATTAAGTCGGCAATTTTTTAGTAAACTATCTCAAATATATTCAAGCTAGGAATTTTATTTTAAGTACGTTGCCCTGATGTTTGATCTTTCTTCGGAGCTATTTGGAAGGGCAAAAGAAGGAAAAAGCGAGCGAGCATTAGTTTATTGCCATGTTGGAGTTCGTGCACGTGCTGTGATAAATGGGGTGGGTATTATCCATCAGCAACACACATTGGTATCGCATGTTGGGGGTGTTTTTGAGACACCCGTGCCAGGCACCGCTCGCAGGACGAGCTTATATTATTTTATTCGCAGGGAGGATTAGATAACACCCGGCCGCGCACAGGCAATTATTGGCATCACATGCCACTACACGATTCACTAATTTGGGAAAACTGGCTGCCCGAGTCGGCGAGAAAGCAAAATGTGCAAGGATTTTTAGCAGCGCCTAGCACATGATCATTAGTGGGTTATTATAATTGCCAGCTACGTAGAAGAGTCTATATTCTGGGAGGCGCAAGTGCTTCGCCAATGCAAAATTCCAAATCGTTCACGGCATTTCTTTTTTAACAACATTTTTTTCATCAACAATATAATATTATCATATTTATTAACACAAATTTGAGATCTGCAGAGTTTGAATTATTCAAATATTTAAATTTAATTCAAATAAATTTTAGTTTTTGCCAGTTTTGCATTCAAAATAAGTATTTGGGCCTGATTGAAAATTAAAAAATTAAGAAAATAGCTTTATTAAAAAATACCTACTTTAGTGATTCTTTTGTTTATGATAATAATAAAATAATTAGTTATAATTTAGCATGCAGATCTCTTTGCAAGACCCCCCACGTTTTAGAAACTTGATTGCCAGAGGTATTTCCTCAGTCCTCAGATAATGCATTTTCTCTCATTTACTTTTTACCACTTTTTACCTGATTAGTGAATAACAAACAATGATAAATCAGATTTTATACAGGTGCATTACTAAAAATATATTTTTTTAAATATTACAACCACAAAATAGAATTGAATTTTTTTTACACATTGACTAGAATAACTTAAAAAATAGTTGAAACTTCATCTGAATTTTATTTGAAACAATATCTAATAAGAAATAAGAAGCAATGAAAATATATGAATCAACTTTATTTTTATTTTTTTTTGGTCAGAAGAATAAAATAATAATAAGTGTGCCCTTTATTAGCGGTGCCTACCACCCATTTTTTTTTATTATTATATTATTATTTTTGTACATTGTAGATGAAAAGATTTTAAATATTTGTAGATAAATTATCAAAATGCGACTAATAATGAATATGTTAAATATTTGCCTGCAACTTTAATAAATAAAAGTTATTTTTAAACTTATTTTACGAAAAAAAATTTTAATGTTTTTTTTTCTTTTAAAAAAAAGCTTGCGCTTGTGCTGCACCGATGTGCGGTGCCGATTTGCGGCGCCGATTTGCGGCGCCGATTTGCTACGGATTTTGTTTAAAAAATTAAATTAATTCTAAAAATTTTTATTCAAATTTCCTTATTTTTCATAAGAAATTCAATATTAAAATTAATAATAAGTTTTCTAAATTTATGAAATATAGTTATTTTAAACTTTTTTACGAAAAAAATTTTAATCTTTTTTATTTCAAAAAAGCTTGCGCTTGTGCTGCACCGATGTGCGGTGCCGATTTGCGGCGCCGATTTGCGGCGCCGATTTGCGGCGCCGATTTGCGGCGCCGATTTGAGGCACCGATTTGCGGCACCGATTTGCGGCGCCGATGTGCGGTGCCGATTTGCGGCGCCGATTTGCGGTGCCGATTTGCGGCACCGATTTGCTACGGATTTTGTTTAAAAAATTAAATTAATTCTAAAAATTTTTGTTCAAATTTCCTTATTTTTCATAAGAAATTTAATAATAAGTTTTCTAAATTTATGAAATATAGTTATTTTTAAACTTTTTTACGAAAAATATTTTTGATCTTTTTTATTTAAAAAAAGCTTGCGCTTGTGCGGCGCCGATTTGCGGTGCCGATTTGCGGCACCGATTTGCGGCGCCGATTTGCAGCGCCGATTTGCTACGGATTTTGTTTCAAAAATTAAATTAATTCTAAAAATTTTTGTTCAAATTTCCTTATTTTTCATAAGAAATTTAATAATAAGTTTTCTAAATTTATGAAATGTAGTTATTTTTAAACTTTTTTACGAAAAAAATTTTTGATCTTTTTTATTTAAAAAAGCTTGCGCTTGTGCGGCGCCGATTTGCGGTGCCGATTTGCGGCACCGATTTGCGGCGCCGATTTACTACGGATTTTGTTTAAAAAATTAAATTAATTCTAAAAATTTTTATTCAAATTTCCTTACTTTTCATAAGAAATTTAATATTAAAATTAATAATAAGTTTTCTAAATTTATGTAATATAGTTCCAAGAAAAACGCGCATCTTTTACTACATTTTGTCAATTTGACGAGGTATTAAATTTGAAAATTTTATTCTCAGCAAGTTCAAAGTTTCCAGTACTCCTTCAAAAAATGCTCTCCTAAATATGTTCATTTTCTCACGAATCAATATAATTTTTCGTATAAATTTAAATTTTGCAACAATCAAACAGATAAATGATGCATTTTCCCAAATCACTCTCTATCGTTTTTTTTGTAACGATGCAAACAACCGGACATTATTTGGTAAAAAAAGAAATAAATAATATTAAAAAAAATCATTTATTTTTTAAATTTAATTATTATTTTTAGGTTATAATTTACCTAGGATTTTGCTTTAGTGAATTAATTGTTAGTTAAAGACCCATTCTTTCTGTGTGCAACCCAGTGAAACTACATTTATTTTTAATAGAAACCAAATTAATACAATTAAAATTCACAAATATTTTTGATGAATATTAATATTTAATCTAAAAGAATGTAAAGAAATGCTTAATTTATATTTTATATACTTTACACTAATGTGTGCTAGAAAATAACATTTTTATTTAATCAAATTTCAGAAGGACAGTGAGTCATGTGAAGTCGGTATTGGAGCAAATAAAAATACTTAAAATTACAAAATTTATGGTACGATTAATTGCGAGTTAATTGATGTTCAATACATACTTAAGTACGCAACCTGCTTTTTATAGACATATAGACGCTCAATTTGGCAATCCTAGGGCAGGTTGGCAGTAATTTTAAATTTTCTTCAGAATGCAACAACCCAATAATTGTGATGAATGCTTACCTACGAAGTTTCCGTAATCACCTGCCTGGATTGAACGAGCGAAAGAGCTCACAATTTATCCAATTTGTGGCAAATCATCTGCAAAAACAAACTGTGCGCACCATCGGCATTTACATGTGAAGCTCAACACACATATGTTTACATTTTTCAAATTTGGCGCTTCCGTTTGTAATTCAAGAACCAATCAGCGAATCGGTGATCAAATCCAAAAGTTACACCCCCTTTTCACCCACGGCCCATCCCATCTGTCCTGATTTCAACACACACAGATCTCGGGACATCGATTTTCGGTCCGTCCAGTGTCCTGACATGGACAAAATTGGCGATTTGTGACATCTGAGACGTTATGGCATAATGGCAGCTTCGGTTCTCAAGTGCAGCCGGCTTCTTGTGCCGGCGCAGAACGCAAAATTCAGACCCCTCGGTGTTGTGACCGTCCAGTGTGACAACCAGCGGAGACGATTGTCTCCGCTCAATGCAGACTCGAAGACTTTTGCGACCAAGCTGCCCTCAAATTCTGGATATTTTCAGTCCTTGGTAAAAACTCAATGCAAATTACAAATTTCATCAAATTAAAACCATATTCATATTTAATTGTATTACATCTTAAATTCATAATATAATTTTATTAATTGATTTACATTTCATTTTCTTGATAATATGAAATACTTACAAAATTTTGAAACCCGAATTACGAGACGTCATGATATTTTCACTCTTATAACCGACTGAAAATACATAAACGTTTTTACGCCATACTTATTAATTTTAATTTAAAATGGGCCGAGCCTTTCGGATCCGTCAACGAAAGAAACGGAATCAGCCACCAGTGAACATCATCCGTGATACTGAAGTAGAAGACCTGTGCAAGTGGATGAGCGTTAAAAACTGGACGAGCACTTGCTCATTGCGCCTTTTTAATTTTCCTAACACGGGTCGAGGTCTGCAGGCACTTTGTTCAATTTCCAAAGGTGATGTCCTCGTCAGCATCCCAAAGGAACTTATCATCACGTGTACAAGTGCTATTAAATCTCCCCTTATGGATCAAATTTTCAAACGCTCGTGCAGTAGCAGTTTGTTTCCAATAGCTCAACAAATTCTGGCAACTTTCCTCTTGCTTGAGCAAAGAAAGGAAGAGTCTGAGTGGCGTTTGTACCTTCAAAGCATCCCAAAGAGTTTTACTACGCCTCATTTTGCCACTGACCTTAACAAACTGCCTGATTATTTGAGTGATAAAGTTAAATCTGAAATATTGCGAGTGAAGAGTTCCTTGGACTGGGCCAATCAGGAGCTGCAAAGATGCAAGATCGAGAAGTTTTTGTGGCCTGAGTACCGCTGGGCCTGGTTCGCCGTAAACACCAGAGCCGTCTTCGTCAAGCCCAGTGAAGACGACAAAATTTGCAGAGATAAAGACAACATTGCTCTGGCTCCCTATCTGGACCTGCTGAACCATTCTCCTAATATCAGACCTAATAAGGTAGCAATTATTAAAATGATAATAAATTTATTCTTAAAAAAAATTTGGATTTTTAACAGGTCGGTTGGAATGGTGATTTTTATCACATCGTTGCTTCCGAATCTTTCAAGAAGCACACCCAAGCTTTCATCAGCTATGGAGCTCATGACAACTTCACCTTGTGTTTGGAATATGGATTCGTTGTGCCTGGAAATCCAAACGACAGAGTTTTGCTTAGCGAAGAAGAAATTTTAAAATCGTTGGAGCCAGAAAAGAAAATCAATAAAGTTGATGGACTTATGTGGTGTACAAGAGAAGGACTTAATTGGACCGCTTTAGTTTTTGTGTCCAAATGCATAAACTTAAGTGCTGTTAACTTTGCTGAAAATGAGAAAGTGTTACGAGCATCGGAAAAAGTTATCTGCTGCAAAATTAAAAACCTTGAATTGCAGATAGAAAAGTACCTGACTGAAGATTTGTGTGAAAGTTTGTGTGTTGTAAAAGAGCTTATTTTGGAGCATTTGGATTTGTTAAAAACTGCCCTTTTGGCAACCTTAACGCGTAATTAGAGCAATAAAGCAATCTTTATAATTTATAATTAACTCTAAATAAAATATTTTATTCAAACTGCAGCCAAATCGATAAATTTCAAATATAATTAAAAGAAAAATATATATCCTGCAGTAATTGAAATTAAAAATTTTATTGTTTTGCCTGATTTTAGAGGTACAGCAGCCAAGCAATCTCGGGAGGCGGCCTCAAGTCTTGCAAGTGCACAACTGGAAGCAGCTTTCTGTCATTACCAAGAAAACTTGGATTTCTGAACAAACCATGCAGCGTCCGTGGCTGTTTCCATCCTGGTGCTTCGCAACTTGCCTCGTTGGCAGGAGACCTCAACATCAAACGAGAAGTGACAGCTCAAGAAATGCTCAAGGGCCTCTTCAGCTACATTTGGCCAAAGGTGAAATTTGACAAACCGTTTTCTTTTTTAACTTAAGACTCAAAATTTCAGGAAGATTCGTCTATCAAGAAAAGGGTTGTTCTATCCTTGGGCTTATTAGTCAGTGCAAAATCAATTGCCGTGTGTGTTCCTTTCCTATTCAAGTGTGGCCTAGACACACTCAACAACAATCCTCCTGATGTGGTTTTGTCACTTGCTGGTGGTGCTGATTCAATGGCATCTGTTGCTGCCACACTTCTAGTTTGTTGTAAGAAATTTGAGGACTCATGCAAAACGCTTAGATGTAATATTTTCAATGTTAATTTAGACGGACTTGCTGGTGCAACAGCAGCAGGTTTCAATGAACTTCGCAATGCTGTATTTGCGAGAGTGGCGCAGCATTCGATCAGGAAAATCGCCAAAAATGTGTTCCTTCACTTGCATAATCTAGACTTGTCCTTCCACCTGGACAGACAAACTGGTGCTCTCTCAAAGGTAGGATGTTTTTGCGTTTAAAAACAGCATAAAGATTCCATCATTTTTTTAGACCATCGATAGAGGAAGCCGAGGCATCAATTTTGTTCTGACTGCAATGATTTTTAACATCTTTCCAACCTTTTTCGAGTTGACGCTGGTCAGCTCAATTTTGGTAAAAAAATCCAAAAATAAAAATCAATGCTGACGTGAGCCTTGTTTTTTAGGGGTCAAAGTTTGGATGGCCATTTGCTAGCGTAGCTCTGGGCTATGTTGGTGTTTATGCAACCTATACATTGCTTGTCACTCAATGGAGAACACAATTCAGAGTTCACATGAACCAGGCTGAAAATGAGGCCGGAAACAAAGCAATCGACTCACTTATTAATTACGAAACGGTTAAGGTAATGCAATTATTTTTTGAAAGCTTCGGTTTATATGAAAAAATTTTCTTTCACAGTATTTTAATAACGAGAAACATGAAGCTGATAGATATGACGATGCACTTAAGCGATTTCAAGTTGCATCTCTAAAAACGAGTACGAGCTTGGCATTACTCAACTTTGGACAAAGTGCCATATTTCACATGTCTTTGGCAACAATGATGCTCCTGTCTGCAAAACAAATTTCTCAAGGTGGATATTTATTAAATTATTGGTCTTACATTAATTTCTTTTTTTAGGAAATATGACTGTTGGCGATTTGGTGCTTGTAAACGGTTTGTTGTTTCAACTATCTGTTCCTTTGGGATTTCTGGGTTCTGTCTACAGAGAAGTACGGCAGGCTCTTATTGATATGAGAACAATGTTCTCATTGATGGCGACAGACGCAGACATCAAAGTAGGATTAATTTTATTCCACCCAAATTTTTTTATAGTTTGCTTTTCATAGAGTGCCCCTGGAGCCCCACAACTTTCAATCGTCCCTAGCAACTCTGGCATCAAATTCAATAATGTTGCTTTCCAATATGTGCCTGGAAAGTCTGTCTTACAAGACATAAGTTTTGAAATCAAACCTGGAAAAAAGGTTGCAATTGTTGGAGGATCTGGGTCAGGGTAAAGAATGAACTCTACTTAGTGTATGCCTGTATTTATGTTACAATTTCAATTTAAAATTTTCAGTAAATCAACAATCATAAGACTACTGTTCAGATTTTTTGAGCCTAATTCTGGCAGTATTGAGATTGGCGGACAAAATATAAGGAATGTAGACTTGGAGTCACTGAGGAAAACTATTGCAATTGTTCCGCAAGTAAGAGTCGTGTACCGACAAATGCATTGATTGGAACTTAAAATTTTTTATGCTTAAGGACTCAGTTTTGTTCAACGAAACAATATTCTACAATCTTCAGTATGGAAATTTAGCTCGATCAAAGGACGAAGTGTTAGCTGCTTCAAAAATGGCAGATCTTCACGAATCGGTGATAAGGTGGCCTCAGGGATACGAAACTAGGGTTTGTAAAAATTATTGGACAACAATTTAAATGATTAAAAAACCTCCTAGGTCGGAGAGCGTGGCCTGAAGCTGTCTGGTGGGGAAAAGCAGAGAGTTGCAATTGCAAGGGCAATTCTTAAAGATTCTCCCATATTAATCTTTGACGAAGCAACGTCGTCATTGGACTCCATAACTGAACATGTGAGTCAACTTAATTAAAATAAAAAAATTCGAAATCATAATAATTGTCTTTTTCAGAATATTCTTGAAGCCCTCAGGAGGGCCACAACTGGAAGAACTTCAATTTGCATTGCGCACAGACTTTCGACCATCCTGGACGCAGATGAAATTTTTGTTCTGGAGGCTGGCCGGGTTGCGGAGCATGGCACCCATGTCGAACTGCTCCGTAATCTTGACAGTACCTACAGCCGCCTTTGGCGTGCTCAAAGGGGAGGCAGCCTCACAATGAATGGGGCATAAATTTAATCTGGGGTGTAAAATTAAAAATGTAGCTTGCTACAAAAAGTTACCTGTTAAAAATGTGATTTGTACAGATTTAGATGTGTTGAAATATAAAGTTTACACATGTTTTAAAGCCATGATTTATTGACTTTTCCATTTTAAAATTAAATCAATTAGCTTTTCAAGTTGTCTCCTTTGCCAGAGGTGTACTCGTCAACCATTCTGGACCAGTCTTTCCAAATTTCATGAAGTTTGCCATTTCCTTTGCCAGATTGAAACTGCTTGAGTTTCTTTGGAGGCAGAAAAGAGCAGAAAAAGTTGAACCCTCCAACCAGGGCTTTCTCATCGACGTACTGACAATTGCTCTCCAAAGGCACTGGCACCACATCGGGTTCTATCACGGTGTCTTCTTCAACAGCACTCTGCACTATGTCGGGGAAGTCTGCTGAAATACTGACCATATTGAATGGAGCAATTCCACACTCCTTGAAACTTTTTTTCAAAATTGCAGGAGATCGTTCCAGGGTTCCAAGGGCATCTTTGAACATGCTCGAAAAGTGCAGAGCTGTCATCAAACTGGGGCTGGGGTTCTGCTGCCTCTTCAGAATGGTGGTCCAAGCTGCTTGGATAGTTTCTACGGCGGCGTCGGCTGGGTGCTTTGTAATCTTTGACTTTGGGGGAAGACTCCAGAGGATGATTCCAGCGTCTTCGCAGAAATGGAAGATTTTGTATGAGATAGGAGAGGCGTGTCCATCAACCAGCAAGAGGATCTTTTATTAAAAATAAATATATATTTAAGAAATTATTCTGCAGTAATGTTAAATTACCTTCTTATTATTATCATTGGGGTTCAGCAGATTCTTTGCAATGAAATGCTTTTTCAACTCAACAATGTTGATGTAGCGAGTGTCGGATTTGATCCAACCCTGGGGTGCAATTGTGGCCCACACTCCTTGGACCACTGTGAAGGCCTTTTTGGTTTCTGGAAAAGTCAGAAACGGAGGTGTCAACGTTCCAGCAGCACTGAAGCAGATGCAAGCTTGACGGACAGCATCCTTGTTGGAGCAGTAAAACCAGCGACTCTCATTTCTTCTGCAGATTTTTGAGTCGACAAAAGGCACAGCGATTTCATCGAGAGTAAAGACGCGGTTCAGTTGCGAGAGCAAATCTTCACAGCCCAGTTTCACCAGCCGTGTCCACAGGTTGCTCCTCCATTCCTCATCACCCTCTAATTATACATTTAATTAAAAATAAAATATTTTAAAAACATTAGATTAAATAAGAATTTACCTTTTTTATTAGCTCTGGGATGGTAAGCAGACAGAATCCCTTTCAGCTCGGGATGTCGATCCAAAAAACGGTGGCACCACGATGAGCTAGGCTTCTTTAAAGCGTCAATATTTTCCACAGACCCTTTTTCGACGGCAATGTCCATGATGGAGTCACACAAAAGTTCGTGGTTGCAAGGGAAGCTTCGCTCTAACATTTGCAAGACAAATTTCTTGAGCTCCTCTTCTGTATCCACTCCGTAGATTGGTCTTGGCCCTGGTGATTTGGTCAGCTCTGCAATATCTGGCACAGCACCAAGTTCTGTCACCATCCTCATCTTGTTTGCTAAAGTTGATCTCGGGACATTGAATGTCTTTGAGGCTTTCCTCACCGTCCAGTCCTCATTGAGGACAGCTTCGATGGCGCTGTTCACATCTTCGCCTGAATACTCTCGAGTTTTGCTTCTGCCGGAACCAGAAGTACCAGGAGCTGAATTTTTTGCATTTGATGATGGCAAGGGCTATAAAGAAGTAATTTAAATTACAGTGTTCCAAAATCAAACTTGTTTCTGTTACCTTATCAATTTTAATTTGCTTTGCAAGAGTATGCTTTTGGGTCCCATCATTGTTTCGCCTCTTCTGCAAAACTCGCTTTTTAAGGCTCGGAGATAACTTGGCCTCCACAGAGCTCGCAATTGTCTCGACCAACTTCCCTAGTTGGGCGCCTATCTAAAAATTAATAGCATAATTAAAATTATTTTTATTTCAATTAAGAACAAACTAATTATTAATTACCGAGTCCGCAACAAGTTTCTGGATGTCTTCCTTGTTGATCCCAGATGTGGCCGCAGGTTCAATTTGTGCAGCGACAACAGGTTGGCTGGGTGTGTCAGCTTTTTTTAATTTTATGGTGTAAATTTTTATTGGTTTCCCAAGTTGAGGCTCTGCATTTATAGGCTTTTGGTTGGCTTCCAAAGGGAGGTCTTTTGAGGGAGAAATCCTGACTGTTATTCCATTTTCAGATTCTGCCATTTTTTAAAGCGCTGCTGATTCTGAAAAATAAAAGTTCTCAATGAAAATACATATATTATGCAGTTCAATTAAAAATCAAGTTATATCATTAAAATGTCACCAATGCTACAAAATAAATTTAATATATTATTTAATTTAAACTTTTTAAAATCATACATACTTAAAAGAATCAATTTATAATTAATTTTGATGGGCTATATAAAATGAAGTATGATTTTTAAATAACCAAAATAATTAATAATAATGTACATAAAATAATAAATCATAATATTGTTTTCGTTTTTTTTTCATGCATAAATATATTTTTATTTTAAACAAAAGATCCATAATGTGTTGATTTCTTAGAAATAAATAATAGAAGTGGAATTAATAAAATCAATGCAGGTTATGTGTATGAACTGCCTTTCCTGGTCCAAAAACGTAAAATATGTTTACAAACATACGCGATAAGACGGCGCGGATCCAATTTTAGCACTATTCGTCAGTGTTTGCCTAATTGCCTATTTTCCTAGCTCTTCTGCATTTCGCAAAAAGAGTTGTCCTTGCCTTTCGGTGGAAGTCCGACAAGGTCTGATCTTTGGCCCAAGTTAGGTTTTGGTTTGGTACGATCAGTTCCGAGTTTCGGGTCGCTTTTCACTGCTGCATCGCAAAAATGGTCGACGCACAGTTATAACCACGACATGCGCAGTGGCGCTCGAGAGGCTAAACTGGCGGGAACGTTGACGAAGTATAGAGACACGTGCGATATTTCTGGATACATAATTATTATCATTGATGGATATTATGCTGGAGATTGAATGACTATTAACTTTATATTTATAACTGACAAAAAGACACAAAGTTTTAATGACAGACTGGATTATTTGACTTTATTTTTTTATATTACTCCATTTTCCGATTTTTTATAAAATTATACATGATCGAGCGAAACATAGAATTATTTTATATATGATTTTATATTACAAAGTGTTTCTATGAAAAATAAAAGTGATACAGGACTTATAAAATAAGAAATACACATTTAACACAAAAACAATCAAATAATACATTGAGTATAAGTTTCACACTTAATATTTACCCAAATTTTACAATCTCAAATTTTCTAATTTGATTTGAACTTTTATAAATATTTTTGAAAAAATAATTTCATCAAAAATTATTTTGATTGGAAATACGCAGGTTGCAGGTATTGCACGAATTGAGTGTGCGTATTTTCTGCAGGTATCACATAGACAGTTTGAGATGCAGCCGGCGCTGTAAGTTGGGTTTGAGCGGTGGGTGCCACGGGCCCCACGACAATGGGCCTCCGCAGCAATCTTTGGCCGTATTTGCCATCGATGAGCCGGCGGTGCACCGGAGCCTCGTCGATTCTCCTCTGCGCCGGATGGAATTCGTCAGGCTTGGCTGAATTCTCGATGCGGACCCTGAAATTAATTCATATTTATAAATAAATTTTTAAAAAATGCGACTAATTAATTAAGAAGGAAATCGGGCAAACCTGAATCCTTTGCTGTCGGCGACATAATGGACAATCCTGACGTTGCCGTCGGGCTCGACAAGGCCGTAGCTGCCCCTGACCGTTCCGTCTGGCTTCCGGGACTCTTCTTTGAACTGGACGTTGCCTGTTAAGGGATCCTGCACGTCGTAACCGTACGCGTAGCTTCCCGGGCCCTGACGGAATTAATTGCAAATTTATATGAAAATTAAGAGAATTTAAATAAAATTTAAAAAAACTTGCCTGGTGCTCGTGGTCATGATATGCCTCCCATTCTACTGTGGAGAGCCGGTTTGCCAGCTCTTGAGCAGAGGCGCCGTAGGCGGAAAGAGTCAGCAGAAGTGCCAAAAACTGTAATATAATGATTGTAAGTTTTTCTGCATATATAATTATGATCGGAGATCGGGCCAAATTATTATTTTTTGAACCACATTGTCCTCCCAAGTGCAAGATTTTGGAGGTGGGATTTTTTATAAGGTTGTGCTAGCTGCTTAGCATTTTCTTCAAACATTTTAGGAGACCGATTCGCGCCTACGCGATGAGTTTCCGAGCCAATTAAGAAAGTATGGTCCAACTGATTTATTGGTGCCAAAAACACTTACAGGTTTATAAGTTTTAAGAGGATACTCATTGACTCATTCTCTAAAATAACAAACTCTTGGCCAGCTCTTGGCCTTGGCAAAATATATTTGCTCTTGAAAAAGTATTTAATTAAGCATAAAAATTGAGAGAGAAGAAATCAAAATATATTATTATGTATTAATTTTTTTAACTTATTATACTAAAATTAAGAATAAACCATTTTTTTGAGATGAAGAAAATCAAACTGAATTAAGGATAAAATTTAAATTCTCTTTTTTGCCCTGTGTTCTTCTAAAGATTTAGCGGGGGACGCGGGGGTGCTAAAAAAACTCAATAAAATTTAAGTGTTCCACGCGCTTGGTAATGTAACAATATGTAATAAAAAAGCATGAAATAGAGGTGAATATAATTTATAATTTTACGTTTATAAAGGCCTCTGGTTTGAATAAGAAACTGGCTATCTTGCTGCCCACACCGCACGCGAGAAAAAAACAGCACTTGCAAAGACTTCGCTCCCATCAGAATTGTTAATTGCTTGTCTCATCTGACAGGCTATTTCGTTTTGCATATTTTGGCGCAGGAATAAGATCCTATCGTGTAGAAAACACTTTTAGTTGAGCTTTATTATACAAACGGACAGAGAATGCTAATTTGAGCCCGATTTTATTGATTTTTATTCAATTTAAATGATTAAACTTGATGGATTATTGTTGGTTATGAAATCGAGAAGTGAGAAGAGTTGCGTAAATGTTGATATTTAAAAATTCAATACGTCTTTAATCGTGAGCACAGAGGACGGTTTGCTGTTGAGAGGAGCAAAAAATTCTTGCTCGCGATAATCAAAAACGCGTATATTTAAATTAAATGGGAAATAAAACGAGCTCAAGTTTGCGTGCGCATTTTCAATTTCTTCGCTGTCACTATAAATAATTCAAGTTGCCGTAAAAGGGCTTTCTTCCCACAGGACACATCAAATATAAAAAGGAGCAGTATAGAGATTCGAAAATAAAAGATCGAGAACGCGTATAACAACTCAACTATAACCGAGAGAATAATAAACGAGGTGAAATCAAGCCGCGTGTTTTTTACGGCGGCAATTTGTAAATGACACTTATTTCCTGCGGTATCCTATACAAAATATTAAGAAAAACCAAGAATTTAAATTGGCGCCCAAGTGTTTATAGGTAGCATTAATGGCGCGTGACGAGTCAAACGTTACATATTGCTTGAATGCATAAATTAATGAAAATCTTAATGGGATTGTGCGCTATGCGGGCTAAAGCAATAGCAATTAAAATAGCAGAGATGCAACGGAATGTTTTGATAAGGAGGAAAAATGATTGAAATTCAATTAATTATAATTTTAAATACAATATTGCTGATTCTAGTGCTCATAGAGTTAATTCAACTTAATCTATTTGATATAATAAAAGCGTTCATTAATGGTAAAAATAGAAATTTTAAATTGTTTTAATAATTAAAAATAAATTAACTAATTGGATTACTTTTAAATTCAATTAATTATAGTACCTCCTTGATTTGTTTTGGATGATTTGATAAATAAAATTTAATTAAGAAAATAGCTTGTAAAAACTAATAAAATTTAATTAATTCTTGCATTGATCTAGGTAGTGCCATTTCAGTTATGAAGATCAACTATTTTCATCACCTTTTCTGCTTAAAAGATTACTTAAAAGTGTTCAAAAGTATACAGTTAATTTTTTAACTCAATTGTCAATAATAAATTAAAAAGCATAAGGAAATAATATTGTTGCAAATCTAAAAAGTATATTGTTTAAAAGAAATATTAATATAATATAATTATATTCTTCAATTTTTTTAAACCAATATAATAATTTAATGATTATGTTAAACTGTTATTGTTTTTTAACTGTAAAAGGTGACGCTGAACAAATAAGCGGTACAGTACCTTGGTGTAGATCATCTTCTTCTCTGCTATGATAGTTGTAGTTATGAGCATGAGGATCAGCCCGCACTGGCACTTATAGCGTGCAGAAAACGAGACCACTCCTCCCCTGCAGCAGCGCACAAGAGTGCGGGTCTCTTGCAAAACGCGCGTGTTATGTGTTTTTCGTGCGAGCTCCCACGCTAAAAAATTGCATTGCTCGGTGCATCTTCTGCGATAAAAAGAGGGTCTTATGTTACTTTGTCTCTTGTTAATCAAGACGCGTGTGATGCGCAAAGAAAGAAAGCCGACCGCGCCGCCGGTGCTTTATTCATTTCCTACATGTGTGCGGTCGCGATTATTATTCAATCGCGCGCTGCAGATCCATCGGCGGTTTGCGCAGCACCCACACACCTCACTATTATCACTTTTAGTTGCACTTTGCTGTTTTTACTTCGCAAGCAGCATTTACGATCCGATTATGAAACTTGTGTAATATTGCTTGGATTTAGTGAAATTTAAAAAATCTTTTTACATAGATTGAAAATTGAAAATAAAATTATGACAATTCATTAGGTAAATCAAACGTGCTAAAGATCTAAACGGTGTAGGAAAAAATTATTATATTTGTTTAATAATTGCATATTTTGGGACAAAGTGATTTCAATTTCCAGAGAAAAAAGTAAGCGCACATTATTCTTGAGGTCAGTGACTTCAATGGCTGCAGGGTTAATTGCTATATTTTTATTTACTGTGATTTACTGGACTCAATTTCAATTTTAAAAGTACTGTATATTTTTCCAAAGAAAAACTGAAATTTTGTAATAGTGAAACTAGTAATTTAATTATATATTTTTTTAAACGCAATAATTATAACATCATTGTAATTTATTTTACCAATTTTTAAAAATATATTTCATTGTAAGTTTTCATTTCTTTATTCTCCATTCAATATAAACATAAAAATATAAATTTGATTGTCATTGCTATTTATTCAATGGCTAAAAGTACAAGTTCCTTTTTTAATTAAAATATTTAAAATTATGTAGTTTACTACTTATTACAAAGAATTGACTCCTAATGTAAGTATAAGTCCACATTTATATTAGAAATTGTGATGTGATCCACTTCTTTCATGAAGCTTTAATATTCTTTTAACCTTCATTTACACTTTCATTGCCAAGCAAGCCCTAAATGATAATCCATTAAAACACGCTTTTCTTTATTATAACAACAAAGCGAAACGTCAAGTTTGAAAAATGTACGTGGCGATGTGCAAGTGTCATTTTGCTACGCCAAATGCAGCAGTGAAAGAGATTAATTTGCACAGGGCAAACGCCTTCTCCGTTGACCGCTTTTGCCATTTATTATTAATATTGTTCTTCTTGCGGTGAGCGCCGCGCTCGTGTAAAATGTCACGTTGAATGTTGAGTTCACCTTAATATTCAGACAAGTGCATCAAATTAAAGACTTTGTGGAAGGAATTAACTGCGGATTTGCTTAGGACGAGAGTAACCACCATTCACGATTGCTCAACAAAAATAAATGCACACACGCAATCTCATCAACAAATTAATATCATGCTATACTTGCAAGCGCAGGGGCCATAAAATGCATGCCTGTCTTTCTCACAACACAAAACGTCCATCTCAAAAGACGGCATACAATATTAATTCATAAAATTTGAATAACAGTGGGAAATTATTATACACATCCTTCTTGCATTTTATCGTCAGAATTAGGCAGAATCATTTCACAAAACGTTTTAAGTTTCATTTATGAAAAAATTAAATGCAGTTCATGTTCGATAGGTCCTTCAACTTTATTTTACAGTTGCCAACAAACCACAATGTTTAATTTTTATTACTTAATCTTTAGTTTTATATTTCTTTTTATTGACGCTAGCTAATTATTCATTATTAAATTTTTAATTAACTTCCTCTTGGTTTGGTTGTGATGATGGAAGTTATGATTCCGCTTCCCTTTGGCGTTTTCACATTCACCATAGTATTTGCGTTAATAAATTTTGGGGCGTCCACTGGCGCCGTGTGATCGTACGATGGGTATTCTCCGGATTGATGAAATATAATTTGCACCTTGAACTGCGAGGAATCACCATCGAGGGCCACTTCTCGCGGAAACTTAATTTCGATTCTCTGAGGCCCTTTCTTGCACTCGCCCGTTTCTGTAATTATCACGCGAGCTCCGTAGACTATTTTGTTTTCCGCTGATTTTACCACTAACACGGTGAATTCGTCTTTTTGCAAACAGCCCTCTTTTCTCAAAACCTGTGTGAAATATTAAAAAAAAAAATGAAATAGTGTATAAGGTTATAATTAATAAATTTCCCCAGCGCAAGTATTGATAGAAAAAATCACAATTAAAATTGCTAATTGACGCACATGTCGCGGCCCTTGACAGATATTCTGCCAGGGTTATGACATGCGCGTGCGAAACCTAAGTGCAACAATTAAACCGCGACTCTGTATATAATTACTATAGTCGCGAATGTACCTGCAGGCCGACGAGACGCGGGTCCCGCATGCCGAGGAAATCCAACTGGGCCGAGCTGACCAACGAGAAGGTGGAGTTCTGTCCGGTGAAGTATCGCAAAGGCCCACAGAACTCGGCGCCCACCACTTTGCGCACACGTTGGGCTTCACTGACGAGACGGGGGCCCTTAAATTGGCCCACGTCCCCTTCCTCATCCAAATTAAACACCAACGCCATTATCTAGTGCAAAAATAAATTATTTTAAAATTTAATTTTTCACGTGTCATACTTTGCCGTAATCGAACTTTTTCGACCCAAACTCAAGAGACTGATGGTCATTTGTGGTGAGAAAAAGTCCCCTGAGAGGCATCAGAAGTTCAGGGCCAAGAACAGTTCGATAAGAGACGGGATTTAACGGCAGACCCTGTCTTTTTGCCTCCGCTTTGGCCCATCTAATGGCTGCTTTTAAAAGTTTGACCTCCAAATAGTGCCGCTGCGGTGACTTTTCCGATTGAGGTACAAACGACAGTTGATCCGAGTGCAGAAAATCGGCGAGAATTTCTTTAGGAACCACGTTGAAGTCCGATTCTTGCAGTGCTTGAGCGGTGTCTTGTTTGGCCAACTAAAATTTTTATAAATTAATTTTTTATTTCAAAATTATTTTTGGAAAATAATCTTACATCAATAGCGGCGCGAGCAAGTTGGTCGTCGTTCGCAGCGATCGCGCATCGGTATGTGCTCCAAATTCTGCCGGGGTACATAGAGGCCCAGAGAAACGCCCTACTTTTGTCCAAAGCCCCTTCGAGTTGGAATTTTTCGGCGTATTTGAGTAAGGCGCAAGCCTCTTCCACTGACTTGATGCAATCGCCTCCAGCATAGATGAATCTTTTTTTTTAAATGTAAATTTCCCAAATCATTAAATATTAAAATAAACCTTAAAATTGGCAAAAAGTCGTCAAAGCCTATGTTTTTCAGAACCACCCTGCTTGGGGCATCCGCCCTGGAGAAAAGTTTTTCGAAAATTTGCGAGTTCCGAGCCAGAATGACTTTGTGCGCTTTGATGGTCTAAAATTTTTATATTTATTTTTCTCTCCTTAATCATAATTAATGCTATTAAAAAAATCCAACCCTTTTGTCTAATCCAACGACAAATGTGCAATCCGAAAATGCGCCGCTTCTAAGCAAGTCCAAATTATTATTCATCTCTGCAATATCTGCTTGGTCCATTGTTGAAAGCGGGTTTTTTAATTTTTCTATGGTCACCTCTGAAATCCCAACCTTCAAATTTTCTTACTAAATTTTAGTACTTTATTTGCACAAAGAAAAGGAAAGTATTCGTACTTACGGTGGTAAAACAATGCACCAAATTCCAATTAACAAGGAAGCAGCAAAATGAATATAAAATTAATGTTAGGTGCCTCATTTTTCGTCTCCGTAACTACTTTTATGGTAGTAAAACGGGGAGTGTTGAACAATATCAGCAGCCTCAATGTAAAATATCAAGAGCAAGAGAAGGCGCTATGAGAGGTTTAAAGATAAAACAATCAAAGAACAAAGTTCATTTCACTGAATGAAGGGAAGTTTACAAGACATTTTATTAAATTATAATTTTATATTCTCATATTTAAATAAATAATTATCTTATAAAAATCTATAATTTTTTTTATATTACTTAGAAACAGAGAAATTAAATTTTTATTTCACTTTAACTGTAATTGTTTCACCGCTGTAAAATTTTTGCTAGATGGATGGAAAAAGATGAAGTCATTCAAAATCTTCAATAATTAAAGGATTCAATTTTTGAGCCGGCACGTGTAAGGTCAAAATGTCGCGACCGTTTTTTTTTTGTTTTAGTTTGTTATCTATTATTTGACTTTGGTCTATATAAAATAAAGTCCTGTCCTCTCATAGCTTTTGTCGCCGTGGCCGCGGGTCAAAGAATGAAAATGCTTTATCTGTAGCACAACACTCAAATTCTTGCGGCATTGTGAGAATGTCTGTGATCTGAACAATGGGTGCATTAAGGAGAAAATTGTTACTGCTTTTGTGTATCACGTTTGCGCTTACTTTGGGAGTGCAGGTAAGAAAAAGTTCTTTGTAATTTGTAAAAAAAAAATAGTTTTCAGTTGAATAAAAACATGTGTCACAGGCAAACAGGCGTTCGAGGAATGAAATTGACTTTGAAAAGTTTTTGGTTTCACTGCAATCAGAAAGGGTTAGTAAAACAGTTTAATTAAAAATTTAAAGATACGATTTAATTGATTTATTTTTTTTTCTTAAAATAGAATGAATCTGCCAGAATCGTTGAGGAGGATTGGAGAACGGAATTAAATCTGGTGGAGAAAAACAAATATTTATTAGAAAATGACCTAATGACCGACTGCACCATTTTAGTCGGTCCAGACAGAGAGGTATGGATTTTTTAAATATTTTCATATTTTGAGAGGGAAAATTTATAAAATTAATTTCACAGCCGATGAAAGCGCATAAGATTTTTTTGTCACGCGCCAGTCCTGTGTTAGCCGCTTACTTGAGAAACAATACAAACACTGTTTATTTGGACGACCTCTCGCCCAACGAATTCAGAGCCATTCAAAGGTAAAACTCACGCCACCCGCTCGACAACGCAGTGCCACCGGTTGCATACTCGACCTTTTGCAGGTATTTGTATCGAGGCACCTTTTGCGCGAAAGACGTCGACGAGGCCTGCGGATTATTGAGACACGCCAAAAGATATCAGATAAGCGTTTTTGAGGAGAAGCTGAAGACCCACCTTTGGGTCAACATGTACCCGGACAGTGTTTGGACAACCTTCAAGTGCGCTGAGGAGAACAGCGACAACTTTTTAACACATGCAGCTTTAAATGTAAAACAATGATTCCTATTTTTTTTTACCAATCAGCGTTTAAAATGATTTTATGCAACTCAGGTTATTTCTTGGAGGACGGAGGAATTAATTTCCAACCCAGTTTTCCTGGACCTCCCGCACTCGGCGGTGTCTCGGATTCTGCAAATGCGCACGCTGAACATGACGACGCGATACGCGGCTCCAATTCCATCCTCGGGGCCTCTTCCTCCGGTTTCAGTTTCGGCTGAAATGAAGCTCTTTGACGCACTTCTCCGGTGGGCAGTTTCAGCTGCCGAGAAAAAGGGTCTCGATCCGAATAACCCCGAGTCCATCAGAGGCGTCTTGGGTGGAATTTTTAAAAGCTTGCAAGCGGTCATGCTAAATTACCAGGACTTTAACCAGGGGAGCTCAACGAGCGATCCAACTTACAGTGAGGCACTTGATGTTCTCTACAACACTAATTCCGTGAGAAAAATAAAGTTTTGGCAAATCTTATTTTAATTCACAAATGCATAGGTTTACCAACCGTCTGCTCTGCACAGTCCGTCGCTGACGCTGCGAAAACCAGAAATTTTGGATATTCGCGGGACGGGGGTCGACTTTTTGACATGCAACCGAACTACTGATAAAAATATCTTTGACATCTTAACGTTAACTACGATTCCTAAAGGAGGAAAGCGTTTGATTGGATTTCAAATTCCAGCCAGAGTCACGAAAGGAGACGACTGTATTGCTTCTGAGGACATGACTTTTGTTGTATTTAGCGAAAGACAAACTATTTTGCACAGCCAGAGGTTGAAACTGCAACAAATAAATGCGTGTGCCATGGATGCAGCTAAGGTCCTTAATGTGATGCTGACTAGGTAGATATTTAATTAACTAATTTACTTATTATTTAAATAATAGTAATATTTTTTGTGAATTATTTACTAAAAAATTTTTCCCTTTTTTAACTAAATTATGATTTATTTTATAGCCCGGTGACTATTCCTTCAGGAGGTGGATCAATCAAAGTCCTGTTCCACACGCAGGGCAAATACCCGAGCAGCTGCCCTACAAATGAGACGCCTCCATTCTTCAAAGAGCAATCCCACGAGTTAGTGAGAAGACAAGGAAAAGATGATTCGTTCGTTTGCGCATTTGTGTTTGAAAAAAAATAGTTTGTAGCTAAATGAATACAAGTAAATCATTTGAATGCCAGTTAACTTTTATTTACAAAGTTATCATTTAAAGCTCTGCCAGTATAATTTGTTCAGACGCCTTTTTGACAAGCAATGACTATATTTTAACTCAACATGTTCGAAATGCTCTCGATTTGATTAGATTAAAGCTGACAATTAATTAAGTTTCTCTTTGTGTGAAGAAATGCAGACAGTGTAAACGAAAAGAGCAGCAGGGTCGACTCTGGCGCGTTGAAAGGAGACTTCTTTTGTAATCGTATAACATGTGTTGCATGGGACAGTAATTCTCTTCCTACAAGTATAGTACAGTTTGTAATGTGTGTATCATATTATATGTTAGCCATCTTTAAAATGTACACGCTCTCACACCTCAAAATCGGAACCAGAGATTCTTTGCCAATGACTCAAGCACATTAAGATGTTTACAAACAACCATTGAAATATTGTACCGAAACAACAAAAATACATATCTGCGAGTTTCTGGGTCACTCTGCCCTTTCTGTATAAGACACAAATAATTTTATTTCAATAAATTCTTAAATTTTGTGACAAACCATTCCCTGTTGTCTGGGCAATATGTGTCCAGTTTTTTTATACATAAGTTGCACTGCCTTTGTTTTACATAAAAATACATCATATATATTCATGCAGGATAATACTTGTCACTTTTATCTAACATCTGTTTTTTTTTTTTCTTAATTCTAGTATAAATCGCCACTGTAGATTAAACTCTTTCTTGTTAAGCGTCTATGTCGCTGTTTTAAAATTGGCACTGCACAAGTCCTGACTCGTTTGGTAACACGTAAATTTGATATTTCTATTGAACAATATCAGCGCCTTGGAGATCTTGTGATTTTCACAATCAGCCTTCCCGACTTGCTCTTGCTCTTTGCTGGCCGGGGGTTGGCCGCTTGTTAGCTGTTCAAGTGGCCGCCGGGTGAGGCCATGGGCGGCACTCGGGCCACTTCTGCCGCCCTGTCCGCCATTCGTTCGACTTTGATTTTCAAACTTCGCACCGCCTCGCCTTCACCTGAGAGGAAAAATGAGAATTTAAAATTTCATTCAAATAATAAAAAAATTATCCGATTTTACCAGGGGAACCTGATAAGGGAGCTGCGGTGACTGAGGTGATTATTGGTAGGGAAGGGGCTACTGGCGTCTTCCCTGGCGCTGGTGATGGCACTGTGGCTCCTCTGTCACCACCGAGTTTTCCAGCCAGTCCTCCAGCGAACACAGCCTCGACTTGGCCAACTGGGATGTCCGCAGGACTTTCAGTCTCCATTCTACAAGAAAGATAAAAATCCATAAAATTTGAAGAAAAATGGCAATAAAATATCACATTTTGGTAAACAATTTAATTTTTGTTTCATCGTTAAAAATTTTAAAAACCCAATGTTTATTTAATAAAAGATGTTCTCACATGTCTGTGTCAATGATGAGTTTTCCGGACGGACTGCTGGGGTCATCCATGTCGTCATCGTCAGCTTCCTCGTCTCGGCCATTAGTTGGAGGTTCCGCCACTCGGGAGTTCTCACTGTGGCTCGCCAAACTTCGACTTTCGTGCTCCGAGCCACTTGAGATGTGTGATAGCTCTTCGCCGGTGTCACTCTTCAGTTTGGTCTTCTGCTTGGTTTTCTCCTTTGCCGCAGAGTTGACGTTCTTGTGTTCGGCTGCCTCGGCATTGCTGATGTTGTCTTGCTTCTTCCACTTTGTCCGCCGATTTTGGAACCAGATTTTTACCTGTGAACAAAGATAAACGCAAAACAATGTATTAGAACTGTTGAAAATTAAATTAAAATAAAATGTTTGTAAATGTCTTGTATTTATTTCCATTTGCTCAGTGACATTTTAATAGATAAAGAGCGCATCTTGATGAGTCAAATATGAGGAGAAAAAAATATTTGTGCACAAATCGGCATTTAAGAGCGCGCGCGGCGCGGGTCGCGGAAGGGGTGCAGCGCGAGCCAATTAGCAATTTGCAAGCGCGCGGCCGGGGAGATTCAATTAGGCTAAGCACATTGCGCTTAATGACGTGGCACCCCATTAGGGGTTGGCCGGGGTTAATTCCGCCCTCGCTTAAGCGACGAGAGCCATTAAGGATGCTTTGATTGCCTGCTCTCTCGCTGCCTGCCAGCGCGCGACTGCTCTGCGCGCGATGATGGCACATAATTATGTAACAACTCTTGGCTGCCGACAAACAACGCAACTTTGTAGTGCAAGTCAGTTTGTTATCTCATCAACGTGAATTAATTATTACGGAGCGAAATAATTGGCTTGTGTAACAGACCCGCATTCTTCTCCGAATTAATATCGAGCGATTTCAAGGCGCCCGCCCACCTTAATTATCTCCCTCGGGCTCCATGTCAGAATCAGAATCAGCGAGAGACGTACTGCGCTGCTCTCTGACTCGCATGCAAATTGGAGCTAATGGAGCAGAGGGGAGACTTGCGGTTGAATGCATATGGGTAGGGTGGATTTTGATTTTGTGAGGCAAACTAGAGGTCAGTGATTAAATTTGCCTAATTGTCAGGGTAAAGCCGCGCCTTCATTATGCATATTAAAGCATTTAAAACATAATGAATAACTAAACATAAAAATTTCACCAATATATCAGGAATAAAGTATTATTTGTATTTTCCATTGTCCGTAACCAGCCTATTTATTCTTTTATGCATTAATAAAGTTGACAATTAGATGAAGTTTTTCCCGTTTTTCGGTATAAGAAATAATTTGACGAAAAAACATAGATTAAAAAGTGAAAAAATTGAGTACAAAATGACATGCACATGATGCACAAAATAAAAAATAGAAATTATTGAATTATTATTCAGTCTATTTCCGTCCTTCACCTCCTATCAAGTTTAAATTGTTCTAAACTTTTTACCTAAAATGACACAATTTTAAATAAAATGTTAATTTTTTATTGAGGTGAAAATTAAATCAAATAATAATGTTTAAAATATAACTGATCGAACTTAATGTGATTTCAAACAAAGGCGATTTTAAAAAAGAACAATAAAATTCAAAATAAGTTATCAGGAAGGATTAACAGACAGTTATTGCGCATAACTAAAATCAACGATGCCAATTCGGATTGTAAAAATGACGTTGTAAACCATTTTTATCATCTAAATAACCCAAAAATAAAAATTTATGCTTCACAGAGCTCGTATATATCTGGTTAAAAACGGGTAAAAGAGTCTGATTGGCAAAGGACTCGACGACCGGCCGTAATATTTGACATCAAAATCGAAGCGTAATAATATTTGACAAGTGGCGCCGAGCGCGTTCAATGTCCGTGACACGAGAGGGGATTTGGCAGAATTTGTCTGCGTTTGGCAAAATGGGTGCATTTTGTATCTGCGTTTGTTTGTGCAGGCCATTATTTACATTTTTATCATCGGCGGGCGGCACCGCTCGTAAATTGTCGGTGCGGCGAGTGAGCGAGTCGTAATGGAGGAGCGCGCGCGCACACACTGTATAATATTGTTACAGCAATAAAGCCGTATTATGGAAGAGGGTGTGTGTGTGTGCGAGTATAAAGTGGTCGGGTCGATATAATGCCTCTAACTCACAGCCGGCTCTGAATAAGGAAGCAGTAAACAGCACATATACACAAGCAAGCAGCCCTCTCTGCAGATCAAGGTATTCGGGGCGGGCTGGTGCTCAGCTCGGCTGCTCTGCCGCCGCTGCGAGCTGAATGCTGCTACCAACAAACTAACTCAGCAGGTAGCTCCGGCTGGGGTGATGATAATTGCCTCCCCAGGCTAACAACTCCATTTAATCTTTCGCTCGCTGCTACAAAGAGCGATTAAAGCACACAGTCGAGCCAGAGCGCCACACTGAATTGCCGAGTCCGCAGGTCTTTCCGTTCCAGTGGCCGCTTCTGTACGATTTAAACGCTCAACGTGGGCCGCGAGATTGATGCAGATTTCATTCAAAATCGACAACATGTTATCAGAAAAAAATTATGGAATATTAAAATAAAGAGACGCATAAAATCAAAGTTTAATTAAAATTTTATTTTTAACATTTTAAAATCTTTTCTTTGATTAATAATTTACTAACTCTCGAAATCATTTTTCTTGTTTGCCTTTATTTTGGAATATTAATTTAAAATAATAATGTTCTTTATTAACTTTCCACTTCCATCTCTTCCAAAAAATGAAATTTTTTTGTTTTGTTAAGAAAATCAAAATAATTAATCTTCTTCAATCAGGTTCTGGATTCCACATAAAATTTTATTTTGTTATTTTAGTTCAAAATAAACTTGAAATCTCCCATCTTCTCTAATATTATAAAAAGAAAATAAAAAATACATTTGCTTGGCCTTAAGATTTTTTCCTTCCAGCAAAAACGTTTTGGAGCATATTTTTTCAGGCAAGATGAAACACCTGAAGTACTGAAGAGTTGGTAAAATCCTCATCTCTAGAAATAGATTTTCGAGAGATGAAACCTATACTCATGCTTTCAGGCCTTTCAGCATTCAAGGGTCGACGGAGCCGGTTGTTGGTTTTATTTATAACGCCGATTTTACCGCAGCACGAATTGTCAGCAGGGCGGTTTCTCTTTCTTTTCCTTTTGGCTTGCACTTTTCGATTGATGGAGCGTACGCCAGAGATTGCCCACGGTGGAAAGGGGGACGACGAGAACAAATAAAATGTTCTGCTGCTGATGCTCGTCGCCCGCTTCTTTTTATCTCTCTTTTTTGCCCGCAGGACGAAAGAGAAAGAGAGCGAGCGAGCGAGCGAGTGGCCACAGTGCATTAGCGTAACTTTTATTGCCCCTTAAAATGTTGACGGAGACATTTCAAAAAAATTAAATAGCTGCGAGACCAAATTTAAAGCTCGTAAAAAATGCAGAGCGCTGTATAAATGTGGATAAGAAGTTGGTTTCTTTTGAGCTTTGCAAGTGAGAAATTAAAATTTCTAGTTTTAAATGCAAATATTGTAATATATAAATATTGTATTTTCTCTGTTTATGCGTTGTAGCTTCTAGAATATCTCTTAAAAATTTCATTTGTCAACTGCGGAAGCAATTTTTTTTTATAATTTCAACTTTGTAGAACTCTGGACATTTTCCTAACTGCGTGCTCGATTTTCTTCTTGTTCAAGTTAACTTTTTGAAACGTAAAACTTGAAGGGAAAGGAATATTTTGGTTAAATTTGAATATTGAATAAAGAGATTAATTATTTTCACTAGCCCGAAAATTACTTTTGCGCGTCTCATATCATCAATACTCAAAATTAATTTAAAAAAATTAAGGGAACAATTTTACACCAGGTATTGAATTATTTAATTTCTACAGTCAAATTACCTGTTTGAAAGGAAAGAAATTCGCGGCGGATACAGAAATTTGGTAAAACTGAACAAAATAAAAACGAATTGTTGAGCATCTGTTTCCCGAACCTTAAACAAAGACGGTGTTTTCATAAGCATCGCAGAGCGTCTGTGCAAAATGCCAGAGGATATTATAAGATGTTGCCGGAAAATCAATTTCAGAGGCTCTTACACGCTCCTTTCCCTTTCTCTTCAGGCAAATTAGCCTGGTGAAATGCTGGCGATTGTGATTTGGCTGGAAGTTTTCTCTCGGCGTCGGGCACATAAGGGCGGCCAGAAGCGAAGAGGGGCTTTTATTATTGAAATGACCGTAAAAAGTGGCTGATTTGTATGCGGTGCCACATGCGCCTGCGAGTTTACATCAGCAACTTCACGTCATTCCGACTGCCACAAACTGCGAGCGGGCCCACAAACAAGCAGCAAACGGGGCAAGCGAGCGAGCAGGCGGGAGAGAGAAGAAGAAAAAGGAGCGTGTTCAGCAAAGAGAAAGAAAATCGCCAGCCTCGGGATAAATCGAACGGCGGAAAAACGGGAAGAGAAAATATCTGAGCTGCTTGCCGACGTCAACGTGTGCCACTCGGAGGAGGAAGACTTTGAACAGTTGTAAAGTTAAAGGAGGGTGCTTTCGCTCTATGCTTTTTGAGGATTTCCCTCCAGGAAGCAACTACGTGGCTTGAGACCTGATGAAAGAATAGTCGGCCAGATTTGCCGGAAAAGACGTTCTAGAGCAAGCTCAGCCATGAGCCAGGACAGCGATTAGAAAATCGAGCTCTGCAGGAATTGGGAATTTGGCTGTCTGAATATTGTGTCAATAAATTAATAAATATACTGAATTATTAGCAACAAATGCAAAACGAAAAAGAAACTGTTTCAGTAGAATTTAATTATTTTCAAGCCAGATTTATGCAGAAATTTACTGAAAACGTTGAATATGAAGAAATAGATGTGAATAATTTCCGTATTTCTGCATTTAAGAAAGCCGAATATTTGAACACAAATAAAAATAAGAAATTATTGACATTTATTTTGTTACCTCGCGTCTTTTTTCCACAATTAATTGACTCAAAATAGAATAATTTATAATTAGATAGAAATCAACATTTGTTTAATATATTAAAAATATTTAATATTTAAAAAAGAAACACAAGTCAACCATCTTTGGATAATCCCGAATTTCTAGCTGATCGCAGAACTTAAGCCGTATTGAGAGGTTGAAGACAGATTAATAAAAATGGGGTCGTTATAGTGCTTGGTATGCAACCGGTCGGACAGGCATGTAGTGCAGGCTGCATAACGTTTTTGATGGACGGCCGGTGTGGCGGATGGAGAGAGCGAGCGAGAGACGTTTGATAAGGGATTTGCTAAGTTGTCATGAAAGAGGGTTTATCGGAAATGTGTGT